GAACTTCATTAGTCACTTTGCTGGGATTTCTGAAACGCAACTGATCTGCAAATTATCAGGTTGAGAAAATCTAAGCTTCATATGAATCTTGAAGGACTGAAATGAAATCTGCCAAGAATTCAAAGCAAGAACAATTGGCTTCTCCAGGATTCTAATTAGAGCAAAGATTTCATTCCTCTTTTTTTACCCTTTCCATTGGCACAAAAATATATATTCAGCAAGTTTTGTCCTATAATAACCCATCCTTTACTTCAATTGAATGTATTTTTGCCACATTGAATGACTTCATGATTGAAATCAAAGGATGCTGCCATCTGCTACATCATCTTTTCTAGCCAATCTTAATCTATTTTTAACAGGCTATCATTTTGGGGCAAGGATGTGTTACTGATTCCAAAAACTTAAATTGAATAGGTTGGATAGTGCATTATGGTGCTAAAGCCTATCACTCAAGACACATCAGAGAGTCTATTATTTTCATAAAAATCATTGACATGTCACTCTAAAGCTGCTTTAAGAGTCCATTTAACTATTGTGGGACTATTGTGCTCTGTGAGTTTTCAGCTGATGCCTTTTCCAATATATACACAAACTCCATTCTGGCAACATTAAAACCAATTAGCATTGAGTTGCGACTTCAGAAGTGAATTAAAGTTGACAGCCCAATCAATACAAATGAGGTAAATATCCAGCTGAGGGGGAAAAGGGCCATCTGTTCATCTCTCAGTGAGAGGACAGGAAAAAAAGGGGTTTGGATGGGGGAAAAGAACTGGTGTACAACATGACATGCATAATCTTCTCTTTGTTTTCTTGTCACAGTGCTAGCACTCTCACCATATCTGAAAGCCATGCCCATTTTTCAACACTTCATTTTCTTTCCCAAGTATGTACAAATTGGGAAACGACTTGTATCCAGAGCTACCCTGGGGAGAGCCATAACCTTTCAGAAATTTCTGAAATATCACTTTTGGCATCCCTCATCATTTCTCACATTGGTTGATGCTGTGGGACATTGTATACACCTGATTCTGAATCTAGGGATTATGAAGCCCAGTCACTCTGTAGTGGACAAAGTAAAGCTTCAAGCAAAACTAAGCAGGAGTCAGGAGATTCAATATCTTGAGGAGGTTGAAGCCAAGTGAACCAAACATGGTGCAAAATGCATAGGCTTTTATTGGTGCTTTGGCTAGGATTTTCTGTTCTTTCCTTAAAACACTAGTAAGCGTAGTCTAGCTCTTATGGTAAGTTTTTATTCACTTTCCTTCTCAAAAAGATTGACAATTCTACCAATGTTTTCCATCTGTTGTGGTTGGAGAATAGTCTAAGAGCTGCAAAAGAGGGATAGCAAAGGTGGGAGGTGGAGCTAAAGGTTTAACTCATAATTGTTTCAACACTGACTAAACTAGAATCTGAACAGTAGCCCTTTTGTTCCAACAACCACAAGACCCCATTTGGGCCCCTACTCCCAACTCATGAGGTTGATTGGGATGAAGGCAGAGAATATGATTTTTAATATGTATAATGATGCAGCCCAATATCGACTTATAGATAGATATTTGGCAGTCTCACCACAACTGCATCTGGCTCTTATTTGATTTAGTTATGATTTTGTTGCACTGACAAATTGCTCTGGAAGCAAAACATGGCATCTCACTTCTTTGCTTCAATTTAAATTCATACTGATTTTAATTAAATTACAAACAAACAAAATGGTTTCAACTATACAAGATCCATTTATATTTATAGGGAGCCCACAACTGTGTTGCATTGTCCCACAATCTTGTCTATATTTGTTCGTTTTTAACATTAAGACTTATTTTAATTGTTTTGTTTTACTATATGCTGCCCAAAGTCTAATTTGTGAGATGGTCAGGTGTATTAATCTGATAAATAAACACATTAAATAAAAAGCAAAATGGGTTTTATTGTTGTTTTTGTTTGTTCAGTTTATATATGGTAGGTGCCCATCTTGTAATTACAATTCTGGGCAACAAACATTTAAAACCAACAGAATTAGGACCGAGTAAAGCAGCTGTAAAGTGATTCATCATTAGTGTTCCTGGAAAAGAAAAAAAATCAGATATGCATTAAACGGGGGGGGGATGTGAAGGGGGCTATTTTTTTAATGCTCGTGGGTCATAATTTAAGTTTTTAGGATGTCCCGGGGTTATGATAAACTTAGTGATAAAGGAAGTGAGAATGGTTCAGAAAGTTCAAGGAGTAATGCTTTGAGAAAAAGAAATAGGATTTTAAAAAATGTGTAACATTTTCTGAAGCAGCATCTAACCTTGGTGATCTCAGAAATTTAAGCAAGGTCAGACTTGGTGCTAGAATGCAAGATGACCAGGAAACAGCATAGCTTAAGTTTGATTGAGATGCTGTAATGACATTCCCAGAGGGCATGAATAAAAACTTTCTCCAGCAAAGGAGATGGATAGCTGCAGATAGCCACCAGGAGTTCAATTTGTGGAAATCTTTGCCTGAAGCTTCTTTTAGAGCAGGGGCTTAAGAGCCCCAAGGAAACCTTTTGGATGAGATCTCCATCATTACATTTGTTATCAGTTAAAGAAATAGTGGAATCATTTGAGGGAGCAAACTGTTTTGCTGTCTGTAGCTGGCACACAAGCTGTCACTGGGAGGAAAGAATGCCAGCAGAGACACTGGAGACTTGGGGCATTCCCGAGGGTGGGCAGGTGGGTAGATGGCAAAAATACAGAATTGACATTTGTATCAGTACATATCAGGGGGCCCAAACTCTAGGCAACCACTTGACAATAAATTTTTAGAGCTTGTTGCTGCCATCTATTGCTTGCCCTTGTGAATAGGCGTTAAAGCTATCTGCTTCCCTTCTATGTCCTCTTGGTTCTTCTGGGTGACAGTTGATTTTTCAGCAGAGCACCGCCAAAGTTTGGGTGCTTTTTAAGAAATGGGAGACTGACTATAGGCCTGTGCTTTTGGGCATCAAAGCAGTTGCTACCCTTACCCATGTTGTATTGACTTCATTATTGTACAGCTTACACTGTAATTCCAGTATGATTGTCAAAATGGTGCAATCCTTGGCTTCCTATCTTCATCTTCTTCCCCATTTCCCTTGGTATGTTTATTTCAGAAGATCTCTTGCAAAGGATGGAGTGGCAGAAGGGGGCATGACCTTTCATTTTAGTTTGTGCAGATTTCATCTACATCTTATACTTTGATCAACAAACCAATAAGGCAGGGGTGTCAAACTCAATTTCGTTGAGGGCCACAGCAGCATTGCGGTTGCCCTCAGGGGGCGGGGTGGGTGTGGCCAGGGTGGGTGCAGCCTACTGGGTGGGCATGGATGGAGTGGGTGTGGCCTACTGGGTGGGTGTGGCCAGCTCTACATTGTTCACGTTAAGGGTGCCTGTGGGGGCCTGGGCAGGAATGGGACAGATATGAGGGTCTCTGGCAGAAGGAGGTGGAATCAGGGCAAGTGCCAAGGCATGGTCCAGTGGAGGAGCCTCACTGTTCCTCTCAGGCCATGCGCGGGGGCTGGATGGTGGTGTGGGCTGCCCAGAGCTCTGGGCAGCAGAGGTCAAATGCCAAGCCTGGCCCTTGAGCATCCACGGCACCAAGCCCAGCCCCACTTCCTCAAGGCTGCTGCTCAAGATTCTCCTGGTTCCTCACTGTTTCCAGGCAGCCTTGTGGAGCTAAGACTGAATGCATTTCAGCATAGATGGCCACCACAAAATTGTACATTGGCTCCCGGCTGGCCTGGGCCAGGGCCAAGCAGAGGGGGCCATTTTCTCACTGTTTCCAGGATGGCTTCATGGGCCACATGAAACCACTTCGTGGGCTGCATGCGGCCCCCAGGCCTTGTGTTTGACATGTCTGCAATAAGGCCTGGTGGAAGAACTAGATAGAAGAGCCACAAAAAAAGTCTATTTCCAAGAAAGTGGTAGATGAGGAAAACATGGCCCAAGGCTTATACCTTCCTATCCACCACTTTTACAACCCTGCCATGAATTACTAACTTCCTTTGTAGTCCATTTTTAGGTTGTATGGAAGAATTATATGTACAGTATCTTTGGATGAATAAAGATCCCAAAATAACTGCTGCTGTTGCAAAATTTATATTTGTAGTCTGTAGAATTTGCATGCTGTTGACAGGAAAGTAGATTAGGCAAGACTATAGTCTTTTATTATGCATACTATATTATAATTTGTGCTACATACTACCTTCCCTCTTTTTCTAATGAAGTCTGGGTCAGTGGCCCACAATATAGTATAACTGAATGATTTTAAATAATTCTCAGTGGGATTTTAGAAATGAGAACTTTCAAAATAGGCATCAGAGGAGAAAAAAGAAATAGCCGCTTGGGGACAAATTAAAAAATACTAAGTTGACTATTATTTTACCACCATGGAAATGGAAAATAGCCAGAAGTGTCAATCAGACAATCGCAGACATCCATATATTATATATACCCTGAAATCCCAACCAAAGAAAATAAGCAATGAAAAACAATCAAGAATTCTTGAGAGATGTTCAACAGCTACAAACAACTAGGAAGCCATCTGAAATTTGGGCTTCCCATAATAGAGAAAGTTGAATGCTTAGTTTTCCACTGCATAATCATCTCTTCTGTGGCCAGTATCCCTCCTGGTCAGTTATATTGTATGAACCGATCTGAAAAGGAAGACTTCCCATGGACATTTTAGTAGTACTGTTACAGTGTTAGGAGACATCCTGCCCTTGGAACATCTATGAAAATGTTCTTTTTCTGGAAGCGTCCAAACAATTACCACCTATTGTCTCTTCTTATATGTAAGTGGAGAAGGTGTTTGTGCCCAGCTATGGCGATCATATGGACATTCAAAGTATCTAACTTTTAGTTTAAAAGAGATGAATGATGATGAATTCCTGGACCTTGATACAATTGGTGGCATACAGTGTTATTACTAGTGTTTCATTCTTGAAGGATGAAAGTTGCAGCTAGTTACCCCAACACAGCAACACAACAAAGCAATTAACTCACTTATCCATTTTGTGTTAATATTTATTGTTTGCATCATCTCAGTTATGTACAAATATCCCATTTGAAAATGTAAGTACATTTACATTTTCATGTGTTCCACATTAACTGAATAAAATTTGGTGGCAATATACACACATTTGCAGCTGTGTCCATTAAAAAAGAAAAATACATAATTAAAAAATGAAGATGCCTTACACTGCTTACAAATTAACCAAAAGGTAAACATTTCCCCAGTCATACATGTTCATAATCTAAGGAACAGAGAGCAGAAAATTCAAGTAAATTGTGACTGCAATCCTGTGTACACTTAGGTGAATATAAACCCTATTGAATGCAACAGGACTAATTTCTTAGGATTGCATTGAACATTATGGAAAAGAATTTTCCTTTTTTTTTACTTTGAGTAAGCACAATTTTTAAAAAGAAAATATTTCTTTTCTTTCCAAAACTTTCTTTTACAATGTTGTTTACATGATTTAAAATTAATCATTTTACAGCATTACGTTTGGGGAAAAATACTTAAAACATATGTAACAAAGTGAAGTTTTAAAAACTGAAAAATGTTGGAAGAACCAGCAAATGTAATCATACTTAAAAACTACCATTTATAAACTGAAGTTACAAACAGAACAGAATTAAGAACATGCACACTCAGTATTTCAAGGATGGATTAAAGATGTAGGATCACTGAAAATATTATTTTTACAAGTTAACAATTTACTGCTGTGGCCGATTTAAGCACTGGATTTGTAGAAACAGATTTTAAAAACAACTTCATCTCATAAAGATAAATATTTGCAATCACAGATTTAATACTACTTTTTGTTTGCTAGATTTAACACAATCCAGGCTACGTTTCTGACTTTCTCGCTGGCCCAATGATGATTTTTTTTTAAAAAAAAGTCTTTACATTAAATGAAAACTCTAAGTATTTCACACATCTTACCTTTCCGGGCTGCACTCCTTACTTGAGACTAAATTCAACTGAACACATTTGACTTGCTTCCAAATGACCATGTTAAGATTACACTGTGAATATAATCAAGTTTGGTGGTTCTATTTGGATAGTACCTTTGGGAGTTAATGTTAGTAAACTGGTTGAATTGTTTATATTTTCCAAACATCTGTTGCTCAAGGATGCTTAGAACATTCCTCCTTCATGTTGATAACTGCAGATTCACCTCATATAGAAGCACTTTTTAAAATAGCATAATCAGTATTAGAGTAGATAGATTCTGAACCTGTATCAAGATTGAAAATATTATGGCTAGGTTGTATAGAAGAATTCTCAGCATATTAGTGGACAGAACATGAATCAAGATTAAGACTGGGCTAAACCACTCCACACCCAGAATAGGTGTAGCAGAGTGAAGGCTTTGGAGGAGATATACAGTAGGTGCCTAATTCCCACAAATAGTGTTGGCCCCAGAGACCATAAGTAATGTCTATAGTCTTACCTCCATTACCAGTGATGTTTTCCCCAGATGCTGGACTGAAAAAAGGAATGTCAGAGAAGATTAGGAGTGTGATGCAAGTACATCCAAAATCCAAAACTTTCTGGAGACCAAAATATTCTGCTCCAGCCTAGATACAGTATAATTTATATACTTCTTTATGGAGAATGGAAAGCCTCCCATTCTCCAATAATTACACAAGTCTGAAGAATTTACTTTCACTGATGGATTATTTAAGAATACTAATTCATACTTTCTCTTATAGTTGAGTAAAGGAAGGCTGCACAAATGAAGAGCTTGTTCAAAGTACTCATCAGGCATACAAGTGTAAAACAGCCCTCCTTGAGGTGTCATTACGGCATGTGGGAATGACCTTGGGACTTACAAGATTCTGCTAATGTAAACTTACAATAAAGCATAATTAGGTCATTGGGTGTGCTCCCTCTGTGGACTGCCTTGCAAAACTGATATCAGGCTTGCAAGTCTGAAAACACTTTACTCTCTCCTTGCCTTTACAGTCCAAGAAACGAGAAAGGGTCCCTTCCGAGATGTTTGCCATGCCCACATTCCTTCTACAGGCTCAGATGCCTCTTATCCAATTGTTGCCTGGCTGTGGCTCCCCCCCCACCTCTCTCAAGATCATTCCCACCATTAGAGATGTTGAGGCTGTTGCATCCTATAAGGCTTAGAGCCGCTGCTCTGGAGACCGTCCCATATCATGTTATGTGCAGTATCACAATCAAAGCCTGTACATATATAGGCAGCCTTTCACTTATGGCCACAACTGGAACTGGATTATCAGTTGCTAAACAATGCAGTCATTAAGTAAACGACACCGGACCGGACCCAATTTTAAAACCATTTCCACCACAATTGTTAAGTGAATCACCAGTTATTAAGTGAATTTCACATGGTTATTAAATGAACCATGCAGTTATTAAGTGAATTCGGCTTTCTCAATTTTTTGGGAAGCTGGGTAGGAATGCTGTCAGGGTGAAAAGGTGGTCAAGTGACCACAAAACACTGCAACTATTGTAAAGGTGAGCTGGTTGATGAATGGCCAAATAGTGATCATATAACCACAGGGTTTATGTGTCTGTCTAAGTGAGAGGACAGGTCATAAGTCACTTTTTCAGAGGCCATTGTAATTTCAAACTGTTGTTAAATGAATAAGTATAAGTTGAGGGTGACTTATAAAAGAATAGGACTTTAATCACAAAATCACATCTATTATCTTGCTGATTTTGATATGCTACCACAGATAATTTCACAATCCAGGGGCCATTTTTCCATGTACTGTTTTTCTTTTTTTACAAAAACGTGTTTTTAAATAGCCTGCTGAGTCAGGAAGCCTGGCAAGGATCTGAATAGGGAGCAATAGGCAGTGCATTGCCTGATTTAATTAATCACTACATAATGCTCCAGGCATAAGATTTAGCTTATTGACATAGACCTGAGGTGTCAGAACTAATACTATTATGTGTAACAGGTCTGATAAAGTTGATGAGCTATATTGCTTATTTATCTGTTCAGAACTAGATATATATAGACATACACACAATCTTAAATGGACATTATTTTTTGGAAATGTTAAATGGTTCTGAATAGGAATAAAATTGGATTCATTTTTAATACAAACCTCAGAATGTAAGCAGATAAAAGAAATGAATCAGCTATTACCAGAATGATTATATAAAAAGTTGCACATTGGAGGAAAAGCTTGTACTATGATGGTTCAGTTCAAAAGAATGGTGAAAATATCACTTCTATGCCTTAAAATGACTAGAGAGGCATTTCAAGTGAGAAAGCTCCATGAGCACTTTACAGTTTCCATCTTAGATTAGGTACGTGACAATGATGAATCAGGATATATTTTTAAAAATAGTCTATATTAGCCATTGTCCTGAAATGTCCCACCCAAAAAAGAAAAAAGAAAGAAATCAAGCAAACTCAAGATTGTATCAGATTATCCAAAATAGTAAGAACAGGACTATCAATCCTTCAGCAATGAAATATTTTCAATTAGCAGGAGAAAAATAGGTAGTAAATTCATATTCCTTCCACTGAGCATATTGGGACACTGTTTAATTAAGTATTTTTCCCAAGATTACCGCACAACCACTTTTTTCTTTTTTTCTTTTTTATAAAGTTAGCAATATAAAAATCTAGTCATTTACAACCTTCAAAGAAATAAGAAATCAACTTGAAAATCTACTAACTGTAGAAGTCCGCCAGAGTCTGAAAGTAGACACTTACATTACTGCCAGCATTTTGACTAAAAAACAGCTGCTTTTACAAGACTGGTATATAAACAGTAGTTGTGTTAGCTGGTCTATCCAGTAACATTTTGGAAACTGATCTCTACTTTTATCAGGAATCAAAAATTTACTGACAACTGTCTGTCTGATCAGGATTTTCACCATCACCCTTATTGAAAAGAGACAGTTTCTATGGCAATACTCATTAATAAGTGCATATCATGCGGCACTAATATAGTGCAATATATATATATATATATATTGCCTTATCCGTAGCAAAAAAAGTTCCAGGCAACAGTTTGAGAGTTAGAGAAAGTAAAAAGTATTACACATAGATATTCAATGTTGAGACAACTTGTATAAAATTTTGAATCTGAAGATGCTTAACTCCTTGATAAATGTGTGTGGTAGTAGTGCTTCCGTACCTGGGACTGGTAAAAAAGACAAGAATTTTGCAAGTCTTTATCTCTTTGAAAGCTTAGTTCAGAAAACTGCCTCCTGTCATCCAAAAATGCTAAAACCTGTTCAATGGTTTGTTATTCTCAGTTAAAGTTTACAAGATGCTAAACACTAACTTGATTTTCAACCAGTATATCGTTTGAAAGATTTTTTTTACCTATGATGCAACTGAATATTATATACCTTGGATATAAAGCATTATAGACAATCTGGTATGATCTTCCCATGCTTACTGAGTAAAGTTAGATTAATGCAGCAGACTGTTCTGGTATCAACACTCCCAAATCTCAACATAATATGCAAGTGGTTTTATAGTTCGTATGATTCAAAGAGTGCCGCATAAAGATGCTCAGCTGATGTGCTTACAACTGAAAATGACCATTGGAATTTGCTGTACCAATTGGTGATGAAGAACAAAGATTTCATCCATGGCCATCCATCTTATCTTTTTTTTTCTTTTCCTTTTTCTTGTGTAACATCTGTTGGTAATGTCCACAATGTGCATGCGGTTTTTCAATACTACTGTTTCAAAAGTTTAAAGAATGGAAAACAACTATTTTACATGTCTGCATCTCCATCATAAGCCAGGGTTAAAGGTTTCAGACGGTTATTCTGTCTCCTCTGTGGCTTCTTTGGCTTTTTACTGCAATGAGCAAAAATAAACAGTCACCAATCTAAGAGATTAAGCTAACAGACAGAAAGGTTTTCTATTCATTTCATCCAGGATGAGAAGGCAACATGGATTTAAGCAATTCTCACTTTTAATAATGTTCTGATTTAAACTGGTTTGGGTCAGATATGTAAGCTGTTATCTACAAGATTTTGAAGGAAAGAAACAGCAAAAATCTGTAGATTACAAATGCATTTACATGTCAGACACAAATAAATAATTAGGTTACCACCCTGTAGCTCTGGACAGTCACCTGATCAATCTATTTAGAAAACCCACCATCCTGCCACCTAAGAAGAAAATTAGGATATTAAGGATATAAATTAGATAGGGAAGTAAAAAAAAATAGCAACCCATTTCCATTGTACTGGCAAGAAAGGTACTGTCTGGAAAAGGTACCAGGAGTTGAGTTGGACTCAAATGAGACTTTACCTCTATGTGATTGTAAGTGGGGGTAGCAGAAAGAGCTTTGGGGAGAGACAAGTGAATAATTGCATTCTTGTGTGTGATGGAACACAAGCTGGGGTTTGAGCCATAATGTTCCAATCTACATTTTTTCATTATTTTGTTATTAGTTTATTTCAGACATTTATGGAAGGTTCCATTCCAGCTATCTTCCTTGCTACATACTTTCCAAAAGTATGGATCAATTTGGAACCTAACTGATCTTTATTCTGTTTCACTGCTTGCCAATGAAGATTAAAAAAAAATCTGGGAAAATAACTGGAAAAGCAGTGAATGTGCCTTTGAAAAAGAGCTCAGTAGGATATGGAGTTTGTTGAAGGCTCCATAGTTGGAAGTCTGTGATCAACTCATTTGGAGTGCTTTCGTCAACAGCTTTATCAATCACATTTATTAACCCCTACTGAATTCAGATGATACTGATACCAATGAACTGTTGCATCTCCTGTGTTAACAGTTCCATAGCAATAACTGGCTTATCATTTCAAAATAACTTTCTATTTAGCCATGGTGGTGCAGTGGTTAGAATGTAGTATTGTAAGCTAACTCTGCCCACTGCCAGGAGTTTGATCCTGACCAGCTCAAGGTTGACTTAGCCTTCCATCCTTCTGAGGTTGGTAAAATGAGGATCCAGATTGTTGGAGAGTGCTGTAAAGTACTATGAAGCGGTATATGAATGCTATATATATTTAATTACAATACAGATGCTTAGTGATGTGTATATATATATATATATATATATATATATATATATATATATGTGTGTGTGTGTGTGTGTGTGTGTGTGTGTGTGTATATATACACACATAAACACACACATATATATGTGTGTGTGTTTATACATCTATATGTATGTATAGGTAGTTCTCCAGCATGATTGGATGGAGAACCCACGGATGGGTTGTCTTAATCTATCTGCTCCAATTAGACTAAGTCTGAAATTTAGTACCGCCCCCTCTGTGCCAACTGCACCCCAGTTTTAGACTTAGTCTCTTTGCCCCAAGACGCGTTTTGTCTTCGCTCCTGGAGCAGAAGACTGTTTAATTCTATTTAATTACTTAGCTCAGGCTATTATTATTATTTGTTACTTTATTATTGATTCAGAATCGATTATATCTAGAAGAAAGATCAATTATCCCAGTCTGAAACCTATTCAGGCTGACAGACTCACAATCCTCTCCCTCTGGGGGGGGGGAAACTTTTCCCTTCTTTGTTTTCCCTCAGTTAGGGACAGCAAGATCAAACCTTTGATTTAGGTCGTTTTCAGAGCCTCATCAAGCCTGGAGGGAGCCTTCCCAGGTCCCTCGGCCCCAGCAGAGAGCAGCAGGTGAGAATTTGGGCGCGGCCCAATTTTCGGAGCCGGGAGGGCCTGTCAGGCCTTGGACGACAGCTTTTCCAGCCGGCCTAATCACATGCCACCAGCTGCTTTAGGAGCCCAGGCGATTCACCTGAACGAGGGCTCGTTGCAGCTTAGACCCTAGGCCTCAAGGCCTTCTCCCAATTTTCGGAGTCGGGAGGGCCTGTCAGGCCTTGGACGACAGCTTTTCCAGCCGGCCTAATCACATGCCACCAGCTGCTTTAGGAGCCCAGGCGATTCACCTGAACGAGGGCTCGTTGCAGCTTAGACCCTAGGCCTCAAGTCCTTCTTCCAACGGCCGTTTTTTAGGGCGCGAAATTGGCGGCCGCCATTTTGAATTGCCTCCCAGCAGCCATTTTGGGTGTGGCTGAAGCCCCCCGTGGCCATTTTGTATGTGGTTGAGGCCCTTGGTGGCCATTTTGTGAGTGGCGGAAGTCACTGGCGGCCATTTTGTGTGGGGCTGAAGCCTCGGCGGCCATTTTGAGTGTGACTGAAGTCACTGGCGGCCATTTTGTGGGTGGCTGAAGTCACCGGCGGCCATTTTGTGTGGGGCTGAAGCCTCGGTGGCCATTTTGAGTGTGCCTGAAGTCATTGGTGGCCATTTTGTGTGTGGCTGAGGCCAGACTGCCTGGAACTTTCTTCTGAAGGCAGTATTACATCATCGGTGGCAGGATCGTCGAGAGAGCAGGTTCGACCGGGGAGGGCCGGATCGATCCCAAGTGATCGGGGTGCCCATTAACTCCCCGCCCATCCCCCTCTTGGGCTGAAGTATCTCTGTAGAATCCCTTGGTGAAGTACAGTGCCGAGGGGGGCGTTTTGCCAAGGTTGAGACCAGAGCAACTCATCATGGCAGAGAAAGGCAGCGAGCCGGCCAAGAGGAGTCGCCAATCAGAGGCAAGTGGTAAGAGCACCACCAAGCGAGCCCGGCCAAGCAGGGAGCCACAGAGGGAGGAAGGGTGCCAAAGACTGAGAGCGGCCTCCCCAGATCTGACAGACACGATGGGAAGGTCTATTTTGGAGCCCCTTTCTTCGTACAGTGCCTCAGCCCCAGGGGCCTGGTCTCCCCCCAGGGGAATTCCTGAGTCAGATTCAAACCTAACAGTGGCTTCAGGGAGGGGTATAACCGGTCAGGACACCTCAGGGCCCCAGGCCACATTCACTCCCACTGCAGCAGGACTTCGCCCTCCTGAGAACCAGGCCCTGAACCCAAACCTCCTCCAGTCCATGATAGCCCAGGCTGTGGCTCAATTTATGGCCTCCAACACCCCACAGACACCCCCCCAGGCCACGTATCATCCACAATCTCCAGATTTGATGGAGGATCCCTCATCGGATTTGGAATCTACAGGGGCTGAACAATCTGGCCTGATTTTGTTTGAGGACGAGGGCATCACTCCCTCTGACCCCACCCCTCCTGTCGGTCTCTTTGACCATTCATTCTTTAATTCCCTGCTACTCAGGGCCTGCACTAGTGCAAACCTCCCCCAAGAACAGGAGACCCCACCTCCAGGGGTCCCCACGCCATATACACCAAGCCCTCAGTCTCGCAGAACAATATTCCCTGCCCTCCCCTTTTTCTGAATATAGTTCAAGAACAATGGGAGAACTTAGGATCCTTCTTAAGCCCCGGTGCAGTAGAGAGAACATTATTCAATGTTGCCCGTTCCCTGGCCTCCCTATTGGAGATTCCTGAGATTGATGAGCCTTGAACTCATTGTCTCCCAATGTTAACATCCCTGGGGACATAAATGAAGCACTTAGAGCGGAGGATAAAAAGATTGACTCCGCATTGCGTAGTTCCCATCTGGCATCAGCCTGGGCAACAAGGGCGGCAACGTCCATGGCCTTCTTCGCTAGGGCTTCAGCCCTTGGGTTACGTGAGCTCCAGGACAGGATCCCTCCAGACCAGCTCAGAGCTCACCAAAATCTGGGTAAGTTAGTGGCTACATCCCAGTACCTAGCCGACGCTTCTCTGCACATGGCTAGATACACTGCCAGACCATCGCTGCAGACATCTCAGCACGAAGGTTCCTTTGGCCCAGGAATTGGCGAGCAGACACCAAGACCAAGTGGCGTCTGGCCTCTAAACCTTACACAGGTGGACATCTCTTTGGTAAGGCACTAGGACCATACTTAACTGAAGGTAAGGACAAACGTAAAACTCTGGTTAACTCATGTCACAGAGCAGTTACAGGAGGCTGCCTTTCGACCAGCTCCATCCTGGGACTGGGCCCAGGCATCCCTCTATTCCTTTCAGAGACAAGAACGACAGCAGGATCGTTCAGCATGCAGAAGCAGACCACAGATCCAGGCCAAGCGGCCCCTTCAAGACCGAGGGGCCGTTCCTCTGAACGAGGCAAGTGACCTCACAGTCTCACTTCCCATAGGAAGCCAGCTGGCCCCTTATTCCAGCACTTGGGCAGTCACCACTACAGATGCCGGCTGGTCCCTTATTCCAGCACTTGGACAGCCATCACTACAGATGCATGGGTGTTAGACACTGTCAACAAGGTTTGAGACTAGAATTTGTTCTCAACCACCTGACAATTCCGCTCTTGCCCTATCCCAACGAGCAGGTCCAGGGCTGACTTTATGTCAGATGCCATAGCTCATTTATTACAAATACGAGCAATTGAACCAGTACACAAGACCAAGAAGGACGAAGGTTTTACTCAAACCTCATCGTCATCCCTAAGACTTGGGGGGCTGGAGGGCAATCTTAGACTTGAAAGGTCTAAACCTTACTTGAGGTATAAGAAGTTTAAGATGCAACCACTTCAATCAATCCTGGCCAGCATCAGGCAAGGTGACTTTCTTACCTCAATAGACCTAATTGAGACATGTTTCCTAACCACCGCAAATTCCTCAGATTCAGCTATGCCCACTACCAGTACAGAGCCCTACCATTTGGCCTCTCATCGACACCGAAAGTATTTACAAGGTACTGGCAGTGCTCGCAGCCACCTTAGACAAATTCCAATCAGAATTCAATGCTATTTAGATGACATACTAATTCAGTCATCATCATTCCGAAACGCTCAGTCAGACCTCGCCCTAGCCATCAAGGTCTTTCAGGAGCACGGGTTTTCTGTTAATTTCCAGAAAAGTCATACAACAACCCGGCTCCTCCATTTGGGCGCTGTTATAGACACGGACAATTGTACGGTCTACCTATCTCAGGACCGAAGGAATTCTATTCAGACTCTGGTATGTCGGATCCTAAGGGCCAGAGTAATCACATTGGCCTCCGTATCACAGCTACTGGGGAAGACGGTATCCTGCGTGCAAATTGTGCCATGGGCATACCTCCATGCCAGAGAATTACATGGCTTCTCCTTCCATTTCAGAGACTTGAACTCCCTTCAATGGTGGGACTCCCCGGCGCTGTCACGGGGAGCAGTATTAGAACCAGACAGGATTACCATTACCACAGATGCAAGCCTGTTTGGGTGGGGGGCACACCTTCACACGCACTGGGCTCAAGGTCGGTGGTCCAAACAGGACCTAAGGAACAATATAAACTGGCTGGAACTCAGAGCCATACATATGGCCCTAAAGAGATTCACCGATATAGTACAGGGCCAACATGTCCTGATTTTAACCGACAACATTACAGCCAAGGCCCATGTCAACAGACAAGGGGGGACAAGGTCCAGGCCTCTCATGCAGGAGGCCAAATTGCTGGGGTCCTGGGCGGAACTGAATCTTCCCTCCATCAGGGTGGAGTACATATCCGGAGTGACCAACCAGCAGGCGGACTCACTGAGCAGAGCAACTGTGGATCATTCTGAATGGCAGCTGGATCCGAAGGTGTTCAGAGAGATCGTGGACAGGTTTGGTTCCCCAACCTTAGACCTTTTGCCTCCCCCACCAACTCACAACTTCCCAGATTCCTTTCTGGGTTCCCACCTCCATCAGCGGAGGGAACAGATGCACTCCGCAGTCCCTCCTCTGCCGTTTCTTCCTGCCACGATCAGGAAGATCCTTCGCGAACGAGCAGAGGTCCTCCTGGTTGCGCCGCATTGGCCGAGACGCTCTTGGTCGCCGACCTGATGGAGCTCTCCGTATCACCTCCATGGAGGATCCCAGCAAATCGCATCTCCCACATTCAGGGGGAACTACACCATCCAGACCCTCAATGACTCCAGTTAACCGTCTGACACTTGAGAGGCAGGCCTTAGGCTGAGACTCATATTCGTCAAGGGTCATAGCTATGATTCAGCAATCTAGGTGACCCTCGACGAATAGAATATACGATGCCACATGGAGAGACTCCTGTAATTGGTGTTCAGTTCGAAAAATTGACCTTTTGGCGGTTTCAATGCCAGTTATCTTGGAGTTCCTGAGGGATGGTCTAGACAAAGGGCTTTCCACAAGCACCATCCGCAGGCAGGTAGCATCACTTGCCACAGTTATTTCCTGTGGCAATGAATCCTTAACACATTACCCTATGATACGCTCCTTCCTAAAAGGAGCTAACAACGTCAGACCATCAACTGTACATAGATACCCCTCGTGGGATCTTCATCAGGTTTATAGGTTCTTGTTTCACACCCTTTGAACTATTGACACTGGTTTGTTTAAACAGTTATCGATGAAGGTGGCATTTCTTGTTGCTGTAACTTCAGCGAGAAGGATATCTGAACTGGCTACTCTTCAGTGAGGAAGGACCTGTGTACATTCCATAAGGACAGGGTAACCCTTAGGCTAGGCCCCTCCTTCGTGCCTAAGGTCAAGTCCTTGTATCCTAAATCTCAGGAAATAGTTTTGCCGGACTTCTGTCCTAACCCATCTAATGAGATAGAGGTTCAGTGGAACAAATCGGATGTGCGCAGGGCTTATATTGTTATATACAGAGAACCTCATCTTTCCACAGAACAGAGGCTCTGTTTGTGTACTATCACCCTTCATCACTAGGTCAGAAGGTTTCTTCAACCACAATACGCAGGTGGATTAGAGTTTGTATTTCTCTGGCATACCAGTCTCAGTCACTGCGAGATCCCAGGCATATCACGGCCCATTCCACCGGGGGGCAGCTACTACAGCTGCCTCGTCTACTCAGGCCTCCGTAGAGGGAATTTGTAGAGCAGCAACATGGGCATCGCCCTCTTCCTTTGTCTGTCACTACAAGAGGGATATATATGCATCTTCTACGGCTTCATTTGGCCGCAGGGTCCTAGAACACGCATTAACATTGGGTGGGAACCAGGCCCAATCTAATTCCCCACCCTAGGGACACAGGGCTTTGGTATGTCCCATCCGTGGGTTCTCCATCCAATCATGCTGGAGAAAGGGGCGTTGTCTTACCTGAACGCCTTTTCTCAGCATGATGATGGAGAATCCACTCCCTCCCATTAGGTCAGTTGGCCTGGTCCCCATTTGTTCAGACGCGTCGGACTAAAGTCTGGGTATCGCCTTAGCCTAAAACTGGGGTGCAGTTGGCACAGAGGGGGCGGTACTAAATTTCAGACTTAGTCTAATTGGAGCAGATAGATTAAGACAACCCATCCGTGGATTCTCCATCATCATGCTGAGAAAAGGCGTTCAGGTAAGACAACGCCCCTTTCAGTAAGCATCTGCACTGTAATTAAGCACAAATATAGGTGTTTAATTGGGTGGGGAAGAAAGCAAGTGAAAAACATATAAAACAGTACAGATCTTGGATTATGACCATTCATTCAGTGACTGTTCAAAGTTATGATGACACTGAATGAGGGGCACTTAGGACCGCTCTGGCAACCAGAGTGGTCATTACTTTGCTTACGAGAAAGTGATCATGATTTCCAACATTGCTTGCCAGTTTCCCAAACTGACAGGAAGTTGGAATTGCATGAGGTCTTCACTTAATGGTCCACATGATCTTTGTTTCATTACGGTGATTGGGACTGCTGGAATTGCTGTCGCTATGTGACATAGTATGACACTGTTTTATGACCATGTTATTTAGTGATGGAGTTCCTGGTCCCAATAGCTGTTGTTAATGCATATTGAGAAGTTGAAAGTTGGGTTGAATAGACAGAAGACAACAAAAGGATTCAATTCAGTATTAAGATGGAAGGAATAAATTGAAGCAAAATATAAGCCTATTCATATATTTACTGCATACTATTTTTGAGGAAAAACCCCAAGTATAATAAATAATAAAACTCACCAGGCAAGATAGACCATAGATATTACAAAGATGAGCAAAACAAATGCACCAGCAGCTACACCATAAACCCAGGTCTTCAGCTTCCCATCTAAAATAAACGTTGGTTAGTCATTAGTACATAAATTAGTGCCAATCAGATATTTTCAGAAAGGAGTAATCCAAGGTCTGTTCAAGTACAGTTAGTATTATCAACAAATGATGCATTTTTGATGTCACACAAAGTTTGCTTAGCTAGTAAGTGAAATTATATCTTTTCTTGCAGCACCTCAATAGAAAAGATGGTGAAGAATGAAGAACAAAATCTTTATTCAAGCACCAAATTGAGGAATGTGTTCGTATCAGACATAATATTTGTGAATGTGCCTGGAGTTCAGGTTTTTAAAAACTTTTAAGGTCTTTTAAATGGCTTGATTCTATTGCCTATTATCAATCAAATCAATGTAATTTCAAACAAAGTCATTACAAAGAGAATAGTTATGTTTCTGCTTTTTTTCAAGAATGCCAGTAAAAATATTGAACAAATGGATTTCCCCCCCCCCCAACCCGTGGGTCACTAGATTTATTTGATGATTGTGAATTTGTACATGCTTTATATAATGTTATTTAATTCTTTCCCCTCCTCCTTTCTTGGTCACAATATATTTATTTAGAGCTAAGGCAAGCACCAGAAATCAGCAGGACAAGAAGCCATGGATGGAAACTGATCAAGAGAAGAAGCAACCTGGAACTAAGGAGAAATTTCCTGACCATAAGAACAATCAATCAGTGGAACGACTTTCTTCCAGAAGTTGTGGGTGCTCCATCACTGGAGGTTTTTTGAGATTGGACAACTTTTGTCTGAAATGATTTTGGGTTTCCTGCTTGAATAGGGAGTTGGACTAGAAGACCTCCAAGGTCACTTCCAACTTTGTTGTTCTGTTCTGTGCAAGCTACATTCAGCAAAACTTATTCCTACGTAATTCCTATAGACAGGGTTACATGCTAGGCATATGAAAGAGCAACTATCTGTGCAAGAGAAAATTTTGTGATGATTAAACCTTGTCCAAGATAGTGCCATAAATATTTATTTTATGCAATGCTTTTGTGCAAAATCATTTTTGACATGCTGAAGGGAAGTATCTATAAACCAATAAGCTTTTGTAGTATTATAAGAGCTCAGAAAAGATGGAAAATCATGGGATCTCCTTTGTATGCTATTAACAATTGGAATGGCCTGAGGTATGGTTGAGAATCACTTATCTCTCCACCTTCTAAAAATATCATACAATACTATAAATGTCTGCAAAAAATTTACTCTATTCAATTTATGTGACCTAATATCACTAACTATCCATGCAAAATTTCACCTGGTGCAAAAGGTTGGAGGAACCAAGTTCTTCCTCGTCCTGGTGTGGTGATAGGTGTCTGTGTGGGGTTTATAGCTCGACTAGTTTTCACATCTTCTTTATGATCCACTGTGGGGATAACTACCACTGGAATGCGAGTGCACTGCTCAAGTGTGCCATTAGAAGACATTACTTCTGTATACCCTTGTTCACAAACACACATTCTGGTCTGCAGAGGAACAAATGTTTTACACATTGTAGCAAAGTCATATCACTTCAAAAGCCACAGAATATAGCACCACACAGATGAACAACCCATGACCCCAGAGTGACACATGATTGTGAACTTATTTTTAATGTTTCTGGAGTCTCTTCCCCATAAGACAACAATAAATACTGGACAAAAAGTCCATAGGGTAGTTCCCTTCCATTTTGAATCAAGAAACAAAAACTGCAATGTAAGCCATTTAGTAGGCTTATAGTTGTGTATGTGAGTGCAACTAAAAGGAATAAAATATTGAAAATCCTTCACCCAGTTCTTAAATATAATTATACCTGTTTTACCCATTGCAGCCTATAAATGTTGTGTGCCATTTTGAACATATTTTTGTGTATAAGATTTTTCTACTGGGGCAGTCAAGAATGCAGAACTTTGTGTTTTATTATAGTGTATGTCTAAGCCTGATTCTCATATAAGTAGTAGGCACCTTGGAAATATCCCAGTCAAGGATGAAGGAGACCTGCTGCTAGGAAGTAACAGCAAGGGCTGAGTAACTCAGCTGAACTAGGGGCAGCCAGAACTGGTCCAGGGCAGGTCAAAGGGTTATTCATTTTTCACCCAGCCTTTTGCTCTCAATTTCTATAACCCCCAAGATCTACGGATTGAAAATGACAGGTTGGCAAGACAAGATGGAACTCCTTTACATGCCAGATATGGCAAATATAATATCAAGATTGGCAAAACTTCCTTCTAGGGCAGATATACAAGGATGCAGGTAAAGCCCAAAAGCTCATATACTGTAATTCAGTCTCCAATAATTCAGCTTTGCTCTCTGCTTACAGCCTTTCCTAATTAAAATGGATTTTTCATTTTGACTAACAGCTCAACTTGAGTTTAGAGAGTCAGAGAGTCTTAAACAATGTATCTACCCATATTTCTTCAAGAATGGTGTGAGCAGTTTAACGCCATTTTATTTGCCTGCCTTCCTCTTGACAAAGAAGACTAAAGAGAATTTTCCTCATAGGTTATGCTCAGAACTCTCATTAAACAATATGAAGCATAAGAATGGAGCTCTGTAAAATAATGGCCAAGACGGTAAAATATTTTCACCAGTCTTTAAGCTGGTGCTTGCAACAGGATTTCCAATTAAACATTGTTGGCTTTCCTACTGTTCTAATATGATGCACGACCAATGATACTGTGGCCCTATGTCAGAAATCTGACCTGTAGTAGCACATACCTCACTACAGTAAGAATGGGACTGGCTGCATGCTGGCTTACATGACCTGTCCACATCTGGTTGGTGCATCATTAAGCAACCTCCTGCAGAACAAAAAAAATGGCATTTTGGCACAATCATAATTTACTATCAGGGAAATACCTGCTTCATCTAGGAAAAAAAACCAGCAATCCATAATGGAGGGGAACATATCCTCAGTTCTTGTGCATAATATTGAGAAAAAGTACAGCAAAACTGCTGAATTTGTTTCACTTGATATCTCTTTGGGAATGTTAGTATGCTAGGTATCATCTTCCTATTTCTAGCTCCAACGGGTAATCATCTTGGGATGTGTAAATGTGATGGGACTTACTGGCTTTCTTCTTTGTATTCCTGGGGGGGGGGAAAGGAGCCCTAATTTTTCACAAATGTGAGCATCACACCAAGTAAAGATGATTACATGATAAAAAACACTGCTCTCCTTTAAATTTAACTTTTCAACACACTGAGCAAATGAACAGGTCTCACCAAAAGAATGAAGTATGTATTATTTAAGAATGTAAATTCATCTCCTTTCAAATTTTATGCTGTTAAATTAACGGCCCAGCTCCCATACCCGTATTCCCAAAAGTTCTTAGTTGATAGAAATGAAATACTTTGTCCCTTCTTGGCAAGTCTTTATAACAGCACTATCATCCCAAAAGATATTTAACTATGAAAGGAAAATGCTGCATTTCCAATTGTAATGAGAAAAATAAATAAATTAAATAAATAAATTATCAGTTCCCAAAGCATGAACTTTTTTTTGGTTTTGGTCTTTTCAGTGGATGGAGGTTATTAATTCAGAATGGTTACTTGGCTTTATTAAATCCACATAGGTTTTCACCATTATTTTGAGCCAGAATTAGTGTTGCCGGCCTTTGGAGATGTCCGGTTGTCTACTTTTGTCTATCTAATAATAAAACCAAGTTATGTACCATACATAACTCTGGCAATCTATTGAGTTTCAATGCTCAATGAGTAAGATGATGTAATATAAATTGAATAAATAAATAAATATTGACTGCATCAACAATTATTGTAAAATAAACCTGCCCATCCCTCACAATGGTGAAAAACAATGTAGAAATCTGTAGATGCAATTAGGTGCAATTAGGCAACTGTATGTTAACCAAAGGAGTGATACTGATTGCTAGATCAATGTTGCTAGCTGACATGTTAAAATGTGTGTACATCCGGGGAACAGTTGCACATGCCTGTAAGTGCCTTTCTTAAAATATGTCAGTCATCTGAGGAACTACAGGAAGAAACTGCTTCCTCACCCAGTTCATTGTGAATTAAGGTATCTGCAAAAATAAAATGTAGATATCAAAAGGCCACACAAAGCAATCATACTGTGATGGAAGGCCAGCGAATGAAAACAACTGTGTTCTAAGTAATTACAATATAACTGTATTTTAACCATTTATATTTCAGTCAACACTTTGTAATTGTTCAGAGCAATCAAATGAACATAAGAATAACCATTTCATAATCAGCCAAATTATGCATGTCTGTTAAAAACCAGTGAAAACTTTTGGCAACTTGTAGAAAACAATTTAGCTCTTTAATACATAATTATAAAGCAATGTGCATAGTGTTGGGAAATAACCTAGCAAGAAGAATATAATTTTGAGGAATACAACCCAGTGTCTGCTTAACTAAAGTTTATTTATTTCTCAAATTTATCAGACTCTCCAGCTATAAACTCTGGCAGTGTACCACGACAAAAATAGGTAAAAAACAGTATATTATAACAGTAACAACAGTGATGACCAGAAACAGCAACAAAACCTATGATCTATCATAGGTATTTCTATAAAAATCCCTGCCATCCATCCTAGTACAAACCCTTGGATAAAATCCATGTTTTTAATGACTATTTAAACAAGGGATTGTAGGGTTCATATGAATCTTAGGAAGGACTTATTGTTCCAGAAAGCAAGCTCAGTGATAGAGAAAACTCACTTCCTGAGTCTCATCATATAATACTGTTTTATTTATCTTGAGCATGCCAACTTTGCTTGTCTCAGATAACCAGGGCCAATGATATAAGAACATTATAGAGTTCAACACCTTGAAGTGCACCCAGAACCTAATGGCAACAAATGCAACTCATTATTGGAGATGTTATATGACTGTACTGTGGTTATGTCCATCATTGGTCCACTATATTCTGAATAAGTTGCAGTTTCTAAATGAACTTTCAGAACATCCTTATGAAGAATATATTGTAATAGTCTACAGGAGAGATGACCAAGGCTTGAGTGACCATCCGGATAGACTTGTGATCTAAGATCTGGTGCAATAGGGGTTGGACATTAATATTCAGGCCTGATATCCAATTTGAGGGTTTTCCTAAACTCACAACCACCTTCTGCTCAAGGAGCAGTTGGCAGCTTTGCCATGAAAATCTCACCCAGGAATAATCTTGTCTGCCAGTTGTATACAAGATTGGGCTCTTGATTTTTATTCTATTGTCCTGGCTCTATAAAGAAGGTTCTGAGGATTATTGGGTTCTCTAAAAAGGTATGGTGACAGAGGCTTCAATAGGAAGGAAGTTAAAAACTATCCCATGTACAGAGAAGCACTTTACTTAATGCCAAATAGCTAGTGAACAGAATGGTCACACTATAAATTTCAATGGATAGATTTCACCCCAGATCTAGCACAATTACACCTTGCTTTTTCAGTGGTTTCATTGGTATGTAGGTACTTATCTCTTAAAACAGTAAGATGTAAAATTGCTTATGTTGATTAAGAGTTTATTTTATTTATACTAATAAAAAAAGAAGTGTCTGGGTGAAGGTCAAAAAGTCAAAGTGCTGGCCGTGAAAACTTAATTCAAACCCCAATGTTTTTTAATATGAATCACTGTAATGAATGTAATTATTCACTGTAATGAATAAGTGAATAAAATAGATGGAAAGCTGCTGAATGAATGAATGATGCTGTAATAAATCAAATTGTATTGTAGCTAAAGCAAAAGTTATTTGACTATGACTAACGCCTATTAACTAGATATTCTCAGTGCTATAAAAATGATAGTAAATTAATATAGGATTTTAAAGTACTCATTAACATTTCTCAAGAGACCTTAAGAGCTCTGACAGACTTCTATTCATATCAAGAATTTAAGGGCTCTCCATAGAAAAGTTCTTTAATGGCTCCTAAATAATTTCCTATTGCCTCATGCCAGCTATCCATGGATCAGAGGACTATAAGAATTGGCTAATCAATTAATCATAGACATTTACACTGATTTTTTGGGGGAAATTTATATTGGCACTGAAATCCATTATGAGTTGCATGCTATTATGAAAATAGTTTTTAATGAATATATTCAAGGCTAAACTTTACATTCAGAAATGCCAAATGCTTCTGATTTTTCATGCAGACTTTGTATGATTTGTCTAACATGTCAAGTTCTGAAATGTTCACATTGGAGTTTTTATACTCAAAGTTGTAATGAATCAGACTTAAATAGATGTAATTATTATAAGAGATCCTGCATATGCCTACTCAAAAGCAAATCTGTCCAGGTCCAAAAAAGCTGTTTTCAGAAAATAGTGCGTAACATTGGAGCTCACTCATTTAGCCGTCTGTAAGCACTTCTAATTCAACTTTGTTGCTTTATCTAAACTAGCAATAAGAACCATATGCCTATTCCAGATGTTGATAGACTCTAACTCCTGCTAGATTATTGCAGTGTCAAGAGAGTGTGATATGGGTTCTGTTTTAATAACATCTGAACAGTCATATTCTTACTATCCCTAATTTAGACACTAACAAATGCCTACAGTACTAACTCTTTCTACAATTTCTAAACATAATTTAGTTTATTCAATACTGTAAAAAGGAAGGTAAAATTAATATTACCTGTAACATTCAAACCATCTGATCTTTGGCACCATACAGTCCGAGATGACCCTTTCCAGGGGCTGGCCATCCAATTGTATTCATAACAATGGCCATCTGAATTGAAAACAGAAAAGATTCCATTATTTTCTAACTTTTGGCTTGGATTGAAAAGTTATACCTGGTGGTTGCCTTCCATTTTGCTTCTCATTTCAGTTTTAGGAATTAGAAATGGCACATCAAATGTACAGAAATTAGCCCTCACATAGTTCATGCATATATTTATTTTAGATATATTTAGTTTTCAAGAAAAACACTTTATAGTTTATAGATATTAAAAATAAATGCATGGCTGCATGGCAAATAAGGGCAGCATTATTCCATTTAAAATATTTACAATTTTAAGAAAAAATGTAACTTGTTCGATATAGAAGAGAAATTGAAGTGAACAACAAGAAACTTTCCCTATATTCTGTAATCATAATGCCATCATTAAAAGGACTTTTTCCTATCCTGGCATGTGATGATTGTCTAACACTGAGAGGTTATCTTCATATGGTCCAAACCAAAGGTTAGCATTCTGGGAGTTGAAATCCACATGTCTTAAAATTGTCAAGGTTGAGAAACACTGGGTTAGACTCATCTGGAAGGGACAATGCAACAGATATCAGTTGAAAAAAGCACCAGCATTTTGAATTTGACCGAAAGAGGGATCAAAAACTTAATAAAGTTGTTTTAACCCCAACAACTTCCTTTCCTATGCTCACTCGAAGCAGTATTTCCTATCAAATTGTATTCTGAATTATCTTCAAAGGCAGGTCTTGTTTGAATCAAGCCTAGATGTTACCAGCACATGAATTATCTTACTAAGTTCACTCTGCCATAAATGGCTGCAATCTTCAAACACCGCATTCAAGTCCCAACTCTGTTATTGAAATATTGGGTCAAAAGTGGGGACCTTCTGCACAGAGCAATGCATGTTTCAGTGCTCAACTCTGGACCCTCCCTCTTTATAGATAGAACAGAGAGAAAAAGTGTGCATTCGTTTTCTATATCTGTAACAGGAGAGAGAGATATTCCCATTATTACTATTATTACTATTATTATTATTATTATTATTATTATTATTATTATTATCATTATTATTATTATGTGTGTTTATTAACAGATTTTTAAAAATTCTGTTTTAAATGTGAGTTATGTATGTGTATAAATTTCATTTTTAATGTGTGCCATTGTGCCCACAGGAAAAAAATGACAATAATGTTTACCTAATCTAATCTAATCTGATCTAGAATGGCACATTCTTTGCTAATAGATTCTGGCACTTACCACTACACTGTCTTGTCTCCAAAGCTTGGTCTGGACAAAGGTGCTGATTTTCTACATCTTGAACAATTACTGCTCGTGATCGAACCTGTATTCCTCCAAAACCAAGATCTTCCCCATTGATGCAGGTCAGCTGACAAATGCTCCAGTGTGACCATTCCTTTAAGTAACAGTCACCTACACAGCAAAGGGAAGGGGCATATAAATGACCCAACATGTTAGCAGAGAAAAAGAGTTTGTGATAATTTCTTACAGTTAATTGAATGCTGCCATGACCATAAAATATTACCATTCTGCCCAAATTTATTTATTTTTAATAAACTTCATTCCCAAACCTTTGTATAAGCATAAATTTACATAACTGGTATATCATATATTTTAGTTTTCATGAATTAACAGATTACAAAGTATTTCTCTACAAAATATTATTTAGAATGAGCAGCACATACATTTAATAAACAATCAAATAATGGTCTAAATAACTGCATTGCTTAGTGATGGTTCAAAGTTAAAACAGTATAGAAAAAATGGTTCAAAGTTAAAACAGTATAGAAAAAAAGCTATCTCAGCATCCTGCTCATATATTCAGCATCTGTGTGCTTCACAACTGCCTTGCAACATGCAGAATTAAACAAAAATTCTGAAATAAAATTTTAGGTTTTGGTCACGTGATGATTTAATGACTAAAGGGAAAGTGAGATCTTAAGCCTATCACGGTTATGTGAGTTTCTGCTTAGAAATTGTGGTGCTTAGTCACTCCTAATTGTGTTCACTAATCAAAGACTATCTATACCTATTAGATTGATATTCTGATTTTGTTTTTTTGTTTTATCCCCTGGAGCTCAAGCCACAGTATGTAAGCATAGCCCACTGTAAGTTTTCCACAATTCTGCAAGGAAGGCTGGTCCAACAGACGTAATTGCCTGATAGTCATGAAGTGACCTTCCATAAGGAGGATGGACTGAGCCTGGTCTCCCAAGTTCTAGTCTAACTAACTCTTCACCCACTGGAGCTAAATAGATTTGGCAGCAGAATAGTGGTAAAAGATAGGGCTATATATTCAGGTTCAAAAGGCAAGACAAGGCTTCTGGTTCCGGTTCGCAGAGTCACTAGTCGCACGAGGAGACTTCGGTGGACCCTTATATGGGTCCAAAGTCGCCCTGAAGGGTGCGACTTCCGTCAAGGAGGCTGCTGTCTGGATAAGGAGGAGCGGTGGCTCCTCCAGCTGTCCGGATGAATCTCTGTAAAATGGCCGATCGCTCTGCCGCTTCAGACCGTAAGTTAGACAACATCTAAGCTTTGAGTGCCCCCTTGGTGAATCTGGGTGAGAATTTTTTTCTTATTTTTCTCTTTTCTGCCTTTTTTCGTTTGTGTACCTGTAAGAGCTTTTGAAAAAAATATTTCCCTGGCTTGGAAAGGCGGCTTCTGCTTTCTTTGGGAAGAAAGGCATTTTTATTTGGACACTAAAAAGGAAAAAAAGAAGGAAAAAGTTTTCTCTCTCCTTTCTTTTTAAGAACTTTACTATTTCTTAGATAGATAGATAGATAGATAGATAGATAGATAGATAGATAGATAGATAGATAGATAGATAGATAGACAGACAGATAGATAAATAGATATAGATAGATAGATATAGATATATTATACTTTAAAAGGCACACAAAAAAAGAATTGATTTTTGGAAAAGACTTTCTTAACTCACTGAGGGCATCTAGTGGCGAAAATTTAATATTGCAACTTTGCTTATTTTTCTATTGAATTTCAAAACACTAAAGATAAGCTGTGCACCTGTGAAGCTGTGAGGGTGGATATTTTTACATTAAACAAAGCCTCTACAAAAAAGAAAAAGAGATTCTTTTAAGCATTAATATTAAAATGGAGAAACCTCAGATACAACTGAACTGTGCACTTATATTGGAAAAGATTTATGAGGCCACTGCAGAAATTTGTGCTACATTTAAAAACTGTACTTTAGAATTAAGATCCAGAGATTCTACTACATTTGCTCAAACTGATGTCCAGGTTACAACTGATCATGGCATAAATCAAAATATACCAGAAGAGGAATTTACAGAGATAGAAGTGGAATTTATTTCATCTGACAATCCTTTCTTCAGAAACTCAGAGAACCAGAAGAAGCAAAGATTAAGACCTCAAAATACAAAGCAACTACATTGCAAGGAGAACAGAAAAAGACTTTTACTGCAGAGGAAGGGATTTATATTTTCTCAAAGATTACTACAAGCAACAAGAATCGATCTATTGGTTGAAAGGGAAAAAAGACGTTTACTGCAGAGGAAGGGACGTACATTTTCTCAAAGATTACTACAAGCATCAAGAATGGATTTACTGGTTGAAAGGGAAGCGCTTTTATGGAAGCCTGTGTGGCATAGAAAGAAACCCAGAATTAGACTGAAAAAGAAATTTAAAAATGTTTAATGGAGTAAAAGGCAATGTTGATTTTATGGATTGTTTTAAGGATAATGATCTAGAGCTAGAACTAAGAAAAATGCAATTATATACATGCGTGTTTAAATCAATAAGTGTTTAAATTGATTAAATTGTGTATAATAATATGATCTGATAAGGTATGATAATTAATTGGATGGAATTTTAAGTTTGTGTAATGAATTGAAAGGAATTAAGGTTTAACATTATTATTATTTTTTCTTTTTTTTCTTTTCTCTTAATTAAGCCAGTTATAACTATATACATATGTGTTTAAATTAGTTAGATGCTTTTTTGTTGTATGGAATGGTTTGGATAAAAGAACCTTGGCTCTATGGATTGTATTAAGGATAAAAAATATATAATCATATACATACATACATACATACACACACATATACATATACATATACATATATATGAATGTATGTTCTGGAGTTGGAAAAAAATGTTCAGTCATGAGAATGTAATTTTGAAGTGCTTAAATTGATTAGGTGATTTTTGCCTATAATAATATGATCTGATAAGGTATGATAACTAATTGGATATCTGAAGTTTGAGTAATGAATTGAAAGGAATTAAGGTTTAACATTGTTTTTTTTTAATTAAGTTAGTTATCACTGGAAGAAGAAATGAATGAGATTGGTGATAAGAAGAGGGATGAAAGAGATTAAAAACTTCAATATACATGGTAGAGATACTTGAAGTGATAATTTGTTGATGTAAAACAATATTTGATTATGGTAATTTTAAATTGATAAAGCTTTAAAACACGTGGAGCAGTAACAGAAATTTAAGCTAGAAATGGAATATATTAAATCTATTATGTTATTTGTGAGAAATAGAGAGATGATAGTGAATGCATTAAGTTGAGCTGTCTATGTATATTTTTTACCTTGAATTGTTTGTTTACCCAAACACCACGGTGTGTCTAAAGTACTCTTTGTTAAAATAAAAAAAAAAACAATAAAATATATTTTTTAAAAAAAGGCAAGACAAGATTTGGAGCACACATAGGCATGTGTCTGAAGAACAACTGCCAGCGATAAAGGAGAATATTTGTACTTCAGATTGAAATGGTGCTTTCTGAGCTTGGTGGTTTTTTTGTAGATGCTTCATTACCCAGACTAGGTAACACCATCATGCTCTATACCAGTGGTTCTCAATCTTTTTAATGCCGCGACCCCCAACCGGTCGTAAGTCAAGGACTACTCAACCGGTCATAAGTCAAGGACTACTCAACTGGTGCAGCACCATTTGCAGAATGGGACTTTTAGCGGGCTCAGCAGGGCAGAGACAGCCTGGACAATTCCTATTGGCTTTTGAAAGCCAATAGAATTAGACTATATTCAAGAGAGTCTATTCTATTGGCTTTCAAAAGCCAATAGAATAAAAGGGAGTAGCACAGCTAAGGAAAAAGGGAAAAAAATGGCGGACTGCGTTGTTTGGCGACCTCCATGAAATGGTCATTCGACCCCAAATAGGGTCCCGACCCACAGGTTGAGAATCACTACTCTATACAATGATAATGTTACCTGGTTTGGGTAATGAAACATCTGCAAGAAAATAACCGAACTCAGACAGCAACAACTGCAAAGCACAGCTGCTTCAGTATGATCAAGAGAAAAGCTTGCCACATATGTGTAAGAGCTACTAATCATATTTTGCTCTTTGAATCATACCCTTACTAGACAATAAAAGGCCAATAGTTCCTATTACTTCCTCTTCTAAGGTTGAATCAGACATAGACAACCTCAAGGAAATAAGCCCATCTATCTCATTTCAATTACTGAACATTTTAGTCATGCTTTAAAAGGATCCAAAGTGAGCTCTTTCAGAAAAGGAAGGAAAAATTTTGAAAAGTCCACTTTTGCTGATTTACAGTTTACAATGTCCCAGAAGCTTTAGTTAAGTGTAAGACAGATGCTGGAAGTTATAGTTTAGCGGTAGTTGCAGCACCAAGAGATTTCCAACTCTGTGGTAAGAGAGGTGGCAGGTTTAAAATAATAGACACGCAAGGCTTTTGTTTTGGTATTTTAGATGTTGATATAGTATGGTTCATTAAAAAAAAAAGAAAAGAAAAGCTGGAGCAATTGTGAATGAGCAAACTCTTTGGGGAGTTTAGGGTCCTTAGTAAATGCTCCAATAGAAGAATGGGATAACAGAGAATGAGATGGCTGGATGAAGCAGTAGGTGTGAACTTAAATGGACTCCAGAAGATGGTAGAGGACAGGAAGACCTGGAGGAACATTGTCCATGGGGTCGCGATGGGTCAGACACGACTTTGCAATTAACAACAACAACAACAGTAAATGCTCAAAGCTGCGTAACTCTAATCAGAAATACATGAAAAAATATTCCACCTCAATGTTCATGGAAATGTAAATTGTTTATATCCATATCTATCTAATACCTATGCAACCCTCTGAAGACACACAAATCATACTTACCAATCCTCAGTGTGCTTGGGAATTTAAAGAAATGTAAAAAATGTGTATATTAAGGAAATTTCTATACAAATGAAGAGATTGGCACAAAAATGGATTAGATTTAAAAAATGCTTATAAAAAAATCTGTATCTCAGGAAAATCTGTACAAAATATATAGATCTTAGAAAAATGTGCCAGAAAACACATCTACATTTTCATACTTTTAAACAAAAAATTGAATTATTTAACCATAGCAGAAAGATATTTTCCAGTTTCTACTAAATAAATTCTATGCTTGTAAAAATCATGGAAGTTTCACTATGGATTGAGGGAGCCAAGTAAAACCTTTTCTGCTAAAAATAAAATAAAATATGGGACTAAAGTCATATTTGCAAAAAGTATTGTAAATGGAGGCCATAAAGCTAGAAAGGCACCCAAGCTTGCAAATGAGTACAGAGCTTTAATTATTTCAGTTCATGGGCTATTAAAAATTCATGTTGCTTTTACATTATGTTGACAAGTAAAATCAACTCAGTGTTAACAATGTGTTAATAAAGAAAGTTTATTTGCAAACATTATAACATTGTGGTAAAGAAATGAATTATTGAAAAAACAATATCTGTATAATTGGGGCATATGTATCATCTTTTGAATATTAACCAGAGTGCACTATTAACCTACCCCACAGGGCTGTTAATTTTTTTTGTGAAAGATAGGGTGGGATGGGAAAGGGGGTTCAAGTAAAAGACTAATACAATTCCAAGTATAAAAACAAAGCTCTTGTAGAGTTAAAGATTACTTTTAAGTTCTTGTTGAGTTGGTTAGCAAAAAAAAAAAAAAAAAAAAAAAAAATCCGTGCAAAAATTGGTAAAGATTATGTTTTATTCTATAATGGAAAAAAAGAGGCAATTTTAAATAAAGCTTAATCAAAATGTATTGATTCTCCTGCTGGCTATCTTACTATTTCTTCCTAATTACTGTTTCAGGAATCATTGTAAAAGATTCCAGTTCCTAAAGTAGTTTTAAATTGTCTAGAAATGAGTGATGGAATAGCAGTGAATGATGAAACTTATAAAAATAAAAATGGTTATGTTTAAACCGTTTATTCAAAACAGAAAGACTTCTGAGGAGCAAATACTCATCTAACAATCATCATTTATTTGGGCGAGAGGGGATTGATTCAATATTATTATCATTCTCACTACTCTGTTCATGCAATTTAACAATATTCCTCCCACAATATTTCTGCATTTATTGACAGTGTTTCATAATTGTTTCTCAAATTCATTTCTGGTTCTTTCTTAATTACTATTTAGTGGATTGTAACATGTAGCTGTCACTAACCTATTGATTCCTACTTTTGTATCCATTCATAGCAATCAAGGAAACATAATTCATACATTGACATATGTTCTAGTTATTGCATATGTCTCCATTACTTGCCCATTTTCATAAATTTCTCTTACATTCCAAATAGCCATTTTTCATATGCCAATTGTCGCAAACAGGGCCGATAGATATTGATCTCCATGATCTATCCTGGCTTTAATCTAATGAGGCTTTTGCAAAATACTGTTCATAAAGGATTTGTATAGACAAAGTTACCTGTCTAGACTTACCTGTCCTGTAGCTAGGACAGGCCTGGCTAGTTCTGTCATATTTTATCAGCACCACCACAAATGCAATCAATGTCAATTTTGTAATAAGTATGCTCATGCTATTCTGTGCAAGCTTATCTCTAAACCAGAGAATATTCTGCAGTCCCCCATTTTCTTTTTTTTTATAAATATTAATGTTAGGCTAATTAAGTTATTAATGTACTAATAACTTTTACCCTGCTGTTGTAATAAGAGAGCTTAAAGAAAAGATTAATGGAGAAGTAAAATTCCTTTTGCTTTACTTTGACCTATAACAATACGATATAAGAAATAACATATTCTTTTTGTCTTTCTTCCAAAAAAATCAATCAGCATGTATTCAACATCAGTTTTGCAAAATATACAAACAAATGAAATACCTGGACAAGGTACAGTACAAGCTTCTTCAAGTACAAGTTTCTTATTGCCATCAACCATAGGTTCAATTTCCCCACAATATTCTTCATCGACTTTTTTGCCAATATCATCACTAGATCCGTCATAGACCACACAGAAAATATTTCTAGTTCTTGTTCCTTCTCCACATTGGGCATCCTGGAAAAGATGTTTACAAGAAGTCAGAATAAGAAAAAAAAACTGAATAAAATGCCAGGACGGAGGAATAGAATATTGGGCCATGCTTTGAAACCGCAGCTAGTGCCAAAGTGTGTACAATTAGTGGCTTAACGTGTGATAGCTAAAGAGCTACATGTATTGTATAAATAAAAATTCCACTGAAAAGCCAAAATTGATACACAACATTTTAGGTTTAACCATTTAAGTCATGTATATTTCCTAAATCTAGGAAAAATCAGGTCATATATATTTTCTATGTGCACATTAAATAAAAAGTTCTTATTTAATAAAGGAGACAAGTATAGATAAGACAGAACAGTTCATCAGTGAATTATTCTACAGAGTCTCACTTTTCTGTTTAGGACAAAGTATAAGGCCATCAATGGAAGTATATAAATCAGCTTTCCTTAACCTGCTGTTCCCCATATACTCCAGATGCCATATATATATGTATGCATTATAAATATCTAAGGATGAAAAGCTGCAGGTAGTAGTTTTACCTCAACTTTACATTCTTCCCATGGACTATGCTGCCATCGATAACAAGGTTTAACTGGACAAGGCTTGAACTGCTCCATTTGTGAAGGACAAGGCCTGCCATCACCTTGGAAAGGTTGAGTAACAGTTCTCTTTCGTGTCATCCTTCCTTCAAAGCAGAGAAAAAGACAGAGCATTTAGCACTGATATTGTATGTGTTTTAAGACATGTCATTTCAGGTCATACGTCCTGCCTTAGGTAGGAATGATGTTCTTCCTTGCATAGCTGGAACATTTAAGGTTCAGCCCAGAAATATAGTTTCACATGGCCTGGATCAATCTTTCCCATTCAACTGATCTCCAGATGTATTAGATTAAACTCACAGAACTTCCAATCAGTAATTGGGCTAATTAATGTCCAGCAAAGCTAGATGATACCAAGTAGAGAAGGCTGGTTGGATCAATTAAAATTGGAAAGTCGAAGTTCCATTATGTGTCAGATGTGACAGATCTGCTTCAGGATTTGAGCTGTACTTCAAGAATTTATATACATATAACCCCCCCATCTTTCCCCCCCTCCCATTAGTGATTCTGAATCATTTGGGTTGGTTCTGGTTTTTTTTCCTGCTGGGACAAAATGTACAGTGATGGGACAAATAGATGGATGAATTACAAAGCATGTAGATTTGTATATTTTTACTTGTTTTGTCTGCACAGGATAATTTGACATCTTCTTGATATGAATCTAAGCTTGACATATATTTGATATGAATCTAAATATACCAAATACTATCACCTTGACAGGCCAAATTTGAAGCAATAAAGAAATAATTGTTACCGGTATATTGAATGTAGTGTTGACAGCCACTAACAACAGAATTATCTGCCACTGCTATAAATGAACCATGTCACAATGTTATCATAGTTCTATGATACAGTATTATAAATGAAATGAATTCCCTACTCAAAAGAGATTGCCTCAAAATAAGATTAACATCTATAATGCACTCTTAAGTATCCATCTAACCTTACACTTCTACCTTATAAGTCATAAATCCAAAAAAACCAAGCAAAATGAAATAATTGTTGGCTTAGAAGCCAACTGACAACAGGAGACATCCACCTGGTAGGGTTGGGCTTCCCTTGAAAGACTTGGCTCATAATCCACATTTCTCCTAGAATCACCACTGCTGCTGGAAGAGCAAGGGGAGACCAAGACCAAGAGGGCCTACCCACATCAGTTGCAACCTGACCTAGAACAAGAGGCACTAGGACCATGGCTTACATTTTTGTCCTCCTGTACTTCAATTACTAAAATTCACATAAATTGAAGACCACTTCAAAACATCAGCTAACACAAAGTGCATCAGCTGTTTAGTATACAACTGAAGTATAGTCACATAATACTATTGCAGGAATTGTGCTGGTTATTGATCTGTTTCCATCTGCAGCTCAAGGATGCTGACTGCTGCCTATATAGCATGGGACTGGATATTTCAGAGACTCCCCATCCCAAGTCAACTGTATCCATCTAACCTGAGAAAATAGAAGTGTTGTTCAGTCACTAAGTGTAACTGACTCTTCATGATCCATGGATCATAGCATGCCAGGCCTCTCTGTCCTTCACTGGGTCCCACAATTTGCCCAAATTCATGGTCATTGCATTGATGGCTTTATCTAACCATCTCTTCCTCTGCAGTCCCCTTCTCCTTTTGCCTTCAATCTTTCCCAACATTAGGGTCTTTTCCAGTGAGTCTTCTCTTCTAATTTGGTGAGAGCTCCTGTTAAAAGCCCTCTCCTATTAGGAGGCGGGGGCAATGAAGCAGGTGTGTTTGATGGCAGCAATTTTTCTTTGGCAAACTTATGGCAAACACAAATACTGCCCACTTTTATGAACTTCCAGAGAATAGTAAAAAACTGACTTTTCAATAAGCTTTTGATAAGTAGCTAAATAAAGATTTATGCCATTATTGTATTTATGTTATTATTGTTTTGTTTTTATTACATTGTTCTATTTATTGAGCTTTGATTTTGTGCCCTCTAGAGCCTAAAGAGTCAGGCATTTAATAAAACTCATACATAAGCAAAGGGTTTTTTTTTTTTTTTAAGCTTAACCTGCTGCGTGAATCCCCCTATTATGTCTTAGTGGTATAGTGTCATATATGCCAGCTTTACCACTCTGGTTTGCTAAGAAATCAAAGTTGAAAAATTCTGGCTCGGCATTATCTTTGTTCAGGTCACTTTAAATTTCACCCATTTGAAGAAAATCAATCAGGCTTTGGTTAAAAGTAATCCTAGTTGCCACCTTAGGATTGTGTGAGTAAGAAACTTAAGGGGAAAAGGCACCTATTCCACAAGTAGATCTAATATTAAAAAAAATAGTGAGGAGTATTGCCCTTGCTTTCTGTTTTTCTCCTTACGTGTAATTGAGTAAATGTTCTTCATAATTAAGGCCTAAGTCCAAATAGGAGAATGTCTGGTCTCAGTGCTATCAGTTTTAGTATCTTCCTCAATATTCTAGTTTTTGTGAGCACAAAAGAGATGCCTTTATAACATAGATGTAAGCTAATTTGGAGAAAGGAAACATAATATCATCAGGCAAAATTTCTTCCAGCTTAAGACAAGCTTTGTTTGCTCCAATATACCATACAGCAGTGTTTCTCATCCTTGGTAACTTGAAGACATATGGACTTCAACTCCCAGAATTTTCCAACCAGCAGTTATTTGAAGTTCATACATCTACAATTTGCCAAGGTTGAGAAATACTTCATAGAGATAGCTTCCTGTGGTCATTCCACAGAAACATTCATTGTGTTTATTTTCTGAATCAGAATAGCAATTTATTCAGCAAAAAGTTGCCAATACAACAAGCTTATAGGAAAGCCAAGCAAATCTGCTTCAATCTAGAAATTTCCCTTCTTCTTTTTCTGATGACTGATAATTGGGCTCATTTATCAATCACCAGAAAGCTTCTGAACTAACCAGTTAGACCACAAGCCTGCGAACATTCAGACCACAGAGACCAGTCTGACAGTTGACAATTCACAGGACATTCCACCATGCAGGAGGTGTTCATATTCCAAGTTTTTTCCAGACCAAGCTAAAAAAAAAAAAAAGATATAACAATCAGTATATCAGATGCAAGATTATTAATTCAACAGAAGATGACATGGATTATAAATTAATAATCACAAAAGGAAAAATTGTATTAATTCATATAAGAACCTAAATATGTTCGTAGTTCTTTAATAAAATTAGCCAACTTTCTCTTATAGAACAGAAAGGAAACTTACAGCCTCCTATAGTCCCAGTTCCATTTTATGGCCATCATAGATCATTAGGATCATACTGATGAAATTCAACAGCAAAGGGTTCATTTTCAGTGGTGCAATTAAAAAAAAAAGCTAAAAAAGTATGTTAAAAGGCAGGTCTGCATTATCCTCATTCCTGACATCAGTATTATTTTTCTGTGGTCAATAATATCTTCAATAGCAACAAAAAAATCCAATAAAAATGTGATACTGTATGAAAAAAGATCCTTCTCCCCCATTCCCATGTTCTGGGGTCAGTAATACAATCATTAGTGTGACTGCTTGAATTTCTGAAACTAAGGGATATAGTCCTGTTTATGACCATATCATTTAGAGAAAAAAATTCCAGTCCCAAATACCATCATAATTTGAAGACTAACCATAATATAAAATATTTTTCATGAAAAAAAATGTTTTGACAACAAAAAAGAGGTATTGTTCTAAATTTTTGAGAATATCTTCAATATCTGGAAAATAATTTTGATTTTGAGGACCCTTAAGAGGATTCTAGAACTACACTTTAATAAATATTGTTCAAACAGGTATTTTGTGCAAAAAAAAAAAAAGATTTCCTGATGTCTTGCTTACAACTGTGTGATGGGAAAAATAAGCATCAGAGAATAAATAGTACAAAAGAATGGAGAGTTAAATATTAAAACAATGATCCTAAATTATAATGGGAAGTAAACAAAATGGCTCGACTCTATTTAGTCTAGTAGTTGATGTAAAGACTGTTTCTTTTAAATGGGAGGGAATGATTATTCAGGCTTCACACTTTATTAATTCCACCATTCCTTATCAATTTCAAAAAAGGCATTCATGCTTTCCAAATAGCCATATTAAGAGGCATGCACTGAATCCTGTCTCATTAAATAAACAATATAAAATAATACAACAGAAACCAATTGCCAAATATTGTTTGGAGACATATGCTATTAGATTTTATGCCAAGCACAGCAATAAATCTCAGGTCTCCAGACATTCCACTTCAGTGAACTTGCTTACAGCAGAAGTTCACAGACACAACATGATTACGTATGTATTCCTTTATTGCAAATGAGGTAGAAGCCATATATACACAAATGATCTGTCTTTTGCAGAATGCAGAAATTAAGCCCCATATTTTGCTTCATAGCTGAATTTTAGGCCTTTTCCTTCCACATCTTTGAGGCTGTGGAAAATTGTTCTGTTCTCTTTCCAGCCTTGACTGAGTGGAATTTACTCAATAGTTGTATAATGATTATTTTACCTAAGACTTCTATTTAATATCCTAACCAGCTCCATCCACATATTCACACACACACACACACACCTCTTACATTCTAATTACAAATTACAGGTAACACCTTCCACAGACATTTTTAAATTTAAGATCTATATTTATTGTTTTAATGTTTTATGCTGCATTTTATTCAATGTTTGTAAGCTGTCTAGAGTCAATTTTTGGTGAGATAGGCATATATAAGTTTGCTAAGTCAATCAACATGAAAATAATTTAATAAATACTGTCATTTCGATATATTAAAATGTATTTGTGCAGGCATTTTTTTTTTCAATTTACAAAAGGGCCAAACAACTTACAACTGGGAAAATGAAATTTGAAAAGACAGAGTCGGGGAGAGAGAAAAAGAGAAATGCACTCTGGTAGAAGATCAAACTGTTACAAAAGAATCACTCCAAATTAGGACAATGATGGCTATTCCAGTTAAGATTTATTATACTTATTCACCTTGATGGCTTATTGTTCCCACACCATTATTTTAGAAGGGGGGGGGGAAGTAGCATACCTTAGTGATCACTCACTTAAGCAAAAAAAGAGAATTAAATGACAAAATCACCAATCCTGGCAAAAATTCATTTAGAGCTACATAGCAGTTTATGAATAACTTTGAGAAGCATCTGTCACAAGACTGATCATGTGCACCAAAGAGAAAGCTTTATGGATGATGGTTTTCAACCACAAAGCAAGGAAAAAACATTCACCTACCTTTTCACAATACAACAGGTCAACTGACTTGCCATCGCTGCGAACACAATCAAGCATTCTTGTTTTGATCCCAATGCCACAAACAGCTTTCTCACTTAGCTGGCAAGTACTCCAGTCTTGAAAGGAAGGGGAGAAAAAAAAGTGACAAAGATCTTCTGTGTGTTGTATCAAAAGGCAACAAAATGCAGTAACCTGTCCTCCCCCCTCATTCATATTTTCTTTCATTTTTAAAAGATTCAGATGACTTACAGTGGATTTCTTATGTCAGCCTCCTAGGAACACAACAAGTGATAAACATAGCAATGAAATTAATATACACTGAACCAGCCTCTTAAATAGATAATTCTGGGCATGCTAGCTTCATCACATTGTCCACCTTGTAAGAGTGCATAAAATAATAGCCAAATCCAGAAGAGCACAACTTTAGAGACCATTATAATTTTTAATAGGAAAGAGAGTAAATGATATAAAACACAGGGCAACTATTATCTACATTTAATTAAATTAGATATAATTCAAATTTGGTTCTGACTCCACGCATCATCAACCTAGGCACACCCTATTTCTCAGGGCTGCGGTTCTAAGCACACTTTTCTAAGCTCAGCAATGTTCTTAGCAGGAAAAAAGTTGGGAATCCCAGCAATGTTTGTTTTTGACTCTCAAAGGTCAGACAAAGAAAATGGGAAAAGGTATCCTTCATTCTGATAGTGAACTTTGTCCTCTATCTGTGAATTCAGATCCCAAATAAAACTATCCAGATATAAAAAGGAAGGCCAGGAAAGTTTGGGAGAACTTCAAAATTTGTGGAAATAACCAACTAATCACATCAACTCTAGAGATAGTCTTTGATTTATGACCATTCATTTAACAATGATTCAAAGTTACAACTGCTTAGAAAAAAGTGACTTATGACCTGTACTCATACTTACAACCATTCTATCCCTCCTGGTCACATGATCACAATTCAGAAACCTGGCAAACTAGCTCACATTTATGACTCATTTCAGTGTCCTGATCACAGTTGTGATTTGTGGCCTTTTTTGCTGATTAAAAAACAAAACAAAAACCAACCCAGCAAAAAAAAAAAAATATGCCCATTGGGGAAGCTGGATTCCCTTAACAATTGCCATAAAAACTGTAGCAAATTCAATTCTGACTTGACTTATGACTGCTATGAATTACAACAAATTCTGTTCCCAACAGTGGTTGTAAGTCAAGGACTACTTTTATATGGAGGAAGATCATCAAATGTACACTTGAGGGGGGGTTGTCTGAGAGAATCCAAATAGCTTTATTGCAGAATGAATGATCTATTTACCAGACACAGAATAGTAGGGGAATTTAGAGGTGGAGATATAATGGAAAAGTATCAGGATATAAAATCAGGGAAGATGGTATGTTTGGCTATTTGAAGAGAGAATGTATCTGGCAAGCTGCAATACAAGTAGTCCTTGACTTACAGCATTTCATTTAGTGACTGTTCAAAGTTACAATGGTACTTAAAAAGTGACTTATAACTGTTTATTTCATAGCTATAATCTATGAAGCATCCCCATGAACATGTGATCAAAATTCAGATGCTTGGCAACTGGTTCATATTTATGACCGTTGCTGTGTCCCAAGGTCATGTGATCACCTTTTGCAATCTTCTGACTGGCAAAGTCAATGGAGAAGCCAGATTCACTTAATAACAGGGTTACTAACTTACCAGTGATTCACTTAACAGCTGAGGCAAGAAAGGTCATAAAATGGGACAAAACTCACTTAACAAATGTCTCACTTAGCAACAGAAATTTTGGACTTGATTGTGGCCGTAAATCGATGACTACCTATATTTTCTTTCAGGCTGCACTTGTCATCTACAAGTACTTAATCAGCATCTGTACCTGTCACATTGTAATCATAGTGATAGCAGTTTTTGTTCAGATGACAAGGCTCTGTCTCCATTGTAGAAGGACAGGCCTTTCCTTCCTGGGGCAGCCTTAAGATCTTGGCTGAGCGTTCCCTCACACTGCTTCCATTACAGGGCTGAGAAAAGAAACCAAACATCCTTTTACTTTGATCAAAGTAACATCCTTAACACAAATTCTTTAAGGCCAAAGTACTTAAAAGAATTGGGCTCAAAATGCACACTCTCTTAGGAAACTTATTAACTGATTTAGGACTCATAATCATAAAAAAAGTCTGATCAGTTATTGTGAGCATAATAATGTAGAGAGTGATCTACTTAAATATAAATTTAACTACTTTAGTATATACTTTAAATACTTATATTTCTTGAAAATATAATTCAATAAGTATACTGTTTTGATTAATAAGCTGAATGCCTGAATTAAACTAATTATATTTTAGTTAGATTGTTATCAATGACTTGGAAAAGGGTCCCCAACCTTTGTCGGTTGGCGGACCGGAGGAAAAGGGAGGGAGAAGCATTTTACATAAGTGTGTGGCGTGCGTGGGGTTGTGAGCATGCATACACTGCAAACAGAGTGGGGCTAGTGCCCACATGATGCTTACTAGCCCTGCCCCATTCTTGTGTGGTGCAGTGCCTTGTTTCTATGCCCCGTGGCACGCAATGGCCATTTTTGTGCTTTGAAGTGTAGCAGACGCCCATTTTTGCACCCTGTGGTGTGGCGGTGCCCTCTTTTTGTGCCCCATGGCATGGCAGTGGTCCGTTTCCACACCCCATGGCATGGCATCAATTTTTGTGCCTTGCAGCGTGGTGGTGGTGGCCTGTTTTCACACCCCACGGCTGTAGCACTAACGTAAGTGAATACAGAAATGTATCATATTCATATATACAACCTGAGATGGGAATTCATTGTTAACAATTTTTAGTGTCAAATTGTATTACCAAGAATTACTCTGTGTTACAAATATTTCCAGCAATCTAAAGATGAGATAACCAACCTGGAGTTGTTTGTCCCAAGGGGGAAAAGGTGGTAGAGAATTGACAGAGCAATTACTCAAGATATACAACCTCTAGCATCTTTAGTTTAAAAGGAACAGTAAAAAACAAAGTCCCCTTACTTTCAGAGATAATAATCAAACACTAGATGGTTTGACTCTATGGCTTGATAAAAAGGTAAGTTATACATAGAAATATCTAATTGAGTTACTGGCTAGGCATTTCAGAAGAAAGTATCTTGATCAATTTGGATTTGGTTGGACAAAAAAATCTTTACTTTCTAAAATTTGATCATTATATATTTAAAATAATAGTTGCCTTACCAAGGAGCACCTAGACCAATGGCCCCACTCGGATATTACACAGTCTTCTGGACATGGCAGTATGCATTTTCTAGCACCAATTGGCATCTCTTCTTGATCACACAGATAGTCTTCCACAATATCTGAAGGACCATCCACCGTGTTTTGCATGCATCTGGAAAGGCAAGTAAAAGTAAAAATATGCAGCTGAAAATAATTATTTATTTAGATCCTTCCTATATAGAAAGGCCTGTATTGAATTAAGGGGAAAATAAAAATAAAAAAGCAATACATATTTTAGTGTAAAACAGTGTTTTCCAGTTATGGGATTTAGAATTCCCCAGGGAGCACATTTTGGGAATTTTATCCACATGTCATTTGAAAGAGAGCAGAAAGAGGAAGGCTGTTCTAAAGGTTTTAGCAAACAACTTTTTCACTGAAGAAGATTTCAGATACAGAAACTTAACCAGACATAGAACATTCTCAACTTCTACACTTAGAATTTCTCCTAAATCATTTGAATAATGAAGGCACTCTAATGAGGAAAGGTTGTTAAATTAGTTTAAAAAGTATAACCAAACTTGAAAAAAAACCCAGGACCAGGGAGAACAGCTAGATGTTCAGTAGCATCCTGAACACTATTAGACAGTAGACATTTGGACCTCTTGAGAGAATATCCCGGAGGCCATGTGTCATTACACAGCAGATGATGGTACTTAATTGATGGAATGCAAAGTGTGCCAACTTTGCCCAATCATACTAGATGGGTACAAACTACTGGAGACAGGCACTTGCTCAAATTACTGGGCCTTATGCTATGAATGGCTTTATAGTACACTGAATCGCACTGGAAGCCACCTGGTAACCAATGCAGTTGGCAGTGCAATGGGTGTAGTAAGGTGTATCCCAAACTGCCTGATTCCCTGCCTGCTGGACAACCTGTAACTTCCAAGTAGTCTCCAACAGGCAGCTCTATATGGAACACATTGCTATAACCCATTTGTGAAGTGAGGAATGTCCTTGTCCAGGAAAGAGCACATTTGGCATATTAGATCTGTGTTCTTTTGGCCTAATTTTTCAGACAAAGCAATTGTCTCTATGTTTAAATACCACTGATCAAAAGATTTTAATTTTAACATTTAGACAGAAAAATCTGGAAGAAATTAAGATTTGGGTGATCAGCCACAATATAGGATTCAGCAGCTTATCTTTTGTTTGAGTTAGTGACATAGTATTTGCAATATATTCCCAGTCTATATTGAATAAAAATATTAAAATATAAATAAAACAGGATTTGAAGACTGCAAGATTTTTAAAATCCTATAGTCACAACCAGCAGAACTGTTAATCAAAGGAATGTAATATCAGGAAATGCTCAAGGAGATAAAAGATTGATTCGATGTCAACTCAAGCCACCAATCAACATAGAAACAGGAATGTGGAAAGGCTCATAACTATTTTTGTTTTGCACACTAGGAAGAGGGTGTCACAAACCATTTGTTGCATACACAAGTCTGAGTTAATCAAAAGGTTTTCTGTGCAGTGGCATAGCTTCAAAGAGAAACATGATGATCCTGCCTGTAGTGGGAAGTCCATAAAAATTATCTGGCCATTGAAAGCTTTCTTATTATTACATAGGCTTAACAAACCAGTCTATTTAAATAAGCATGCCAAACCTTGCAGAAGGAAATTGCTCTTTCCTCCAAAGTAACAAATGTAATAAAAGTTTAACTTACCTCACTTTTCTGGTTTGCACACCCACTCCACAATTCTCTTTTAAGTCCACATTAGTCACTTTGCAGACACTCCAGGGTTCAGTGATTCCTATATACTGACCACAGTCACTATGGCAAGGGACCACTTCATAGACCTGGAATGCAGAGACAGAAAATCAGCTTGCTTCCTGTAGAGAAGGGTAACTAGCAGGGAGAACTGGAATAATATTGTAACTATCATTTATTCAAAGTTACGAGGCATGCATAGCAACATTAGCAAGCAAGCATACTGTAGGTGTGCATAGCAATCCGACAATGCTTGTATTTGTTGATTAGGTTACAGATGGGGGAATTTCAAGGCATTCACTCTTTCTGTTTCTGAATTTGTTTCACTTCATTTTTATGAAACCAATTTCTTACCTTTCTTACAATCCTTCTCAACTCTGTATTTCTCAAATGCACTGACTCATTTTTTTTAGATGCACCGTGAGCCATCACGTTGGGCAATACAGCAGCAAGATTTCACTATCTTTTGTTCCTTTTTCACCTTGTATAGTTAAAGGAACACAGAATCTACTAGAACGAATCATAGGATTTCTAGCAAGGTATCTCACAGTTTCACATTTATTTAGTATTCATTTATTATTCCACTTTTAGTTGCTAAATTCTACTTTGACTTCAGCAACACCTACATTTACCTTCAGCCACTTACAAATCCATAAGATTTTTACTTGAATGAGGACTTATTATTCTTAGCTATATTATTATTCTTGGTATTTAATTGATTGGTAAATGACTGCTCAACACCCTATTAAAATCATGTTGTGCCTTCTGCTTGTCAAACCATGATTTACTTGAATATGTAAATCATTGCTTTGACAAAACATGGAATAGCAGGGATTACAGGGATAAAACCCACTGAGATCAAGTTTTCATCATCACTATTCTGTTGAGTACCATTATTCCTGCTGTTAAATCAATGAGATAGGGATTTTTATGTAACCTGGGGTTGATTCAGGGTCATAACTGCATTATTTCCACATGGCCTTGGATTCAAAAAACTCTGTTTTGGTATTGATCAGCAGTCCCCAGCCTTTTGGGTGCCAGGGACCAATTCTGTGGAGAGAGACTTTTCCTGGAGCAGGTATGGTTTCGCATGCTGCCTATATCCCACAAATGGGGCTTTGCTTCTTTGCCCGACCCGGTTTCTGTGCTGGTCGATGGACCAGGGGTTGGGGGCCCCTGGTATAGAGATTGCACTAATGGACTATTGACTAATGGAAATGGGAATATAATCCTTCCTTTAAGATCTGATTGGATGTAACAGTTTGAATTGGATAGTATTTTTATTTTGTTTTGTTCTCACCAGTCAGAGGAAATCCAATATACATGATGTTTTGCCACCATAACTAGTATTTTTAAATAGATACAATTGGGATAAGTGAAATAGGAAATAGAGGCCAGCTGCAAAGAGATGGAAACATTCTTGGTTGCATACAAAGGGCCCAGTATGATGCAGACGTACTGACTTTCCTGGCCTTTCAGAACAGATAAATAATTGTGGTTGTACTAAACAGTGTTATCAGCAACTCCTTCTGGTCTGGCCTGAGTGAAGAGTGGGTGTCACTGATTAGGTCATCTTGTTAAAGTGGCATTTTGAATTTTAAATCTTATATACCAAAATTAGTCATACGAGTAGGAAGGACACAGGGCTATTAGAGCAGGGATCTCCAAATTTGACAACTTTAAGACTTGTGGGTTCAAATCCCAGAATTCCCCAGCCAGCATTGATGGCTAAGGAATTCTGGGAATTGAAATCCAAGAGTCTTTAAAATTTCCAAGTTGGAGACCCCTGCATTAGAGCATTCCTCAATGGGTTCCTCATGGATCATCTTCATCTATCAGAGGCAGTAATGATTAATAATAACAATGCAACCATTTTTCATCCCAGTTATATGCTTGCTTCTTGTCTTCCCATTTCTGCCTAGTAAAAAATGACTAATATAAACACAGAAGCATTTTAAATTAGCATTCAGATAGACTTACAGAGAAGCTAAAGCAAAAGACAAACACTACACACAGTAATTAAATCTGATCCAGAAGCATGCGTGGGTTTTGCATCTGTTTCACAGCCTCTTACCTGAGCCTGGAACAGGTGTTGACGATGAGCACAAGGGAATGAACAAGGTAAATAAAAACAATAGTTAGGAAGCAAAGCATATTCACAAAAAGGCAGTTGCTTCAGAGTGGTAAACTGAACACATATAGTTTTGTTGTTTTTGCTTATGTCATTTTATATTGAACTATGCTACCTTTTTGTAGTACAAGCAGACCTTAACTTATGATCACATTTTAGTCCAAAATTTCTGTTGCTAAGTGAGAAAGTTGTTAAATGAATTTTGCCCCATTTTATAAACTTTCTTGCCTCCATTGTTATGTGATTTACTGCAGTTGTTAAGTTAGTAACACAGTTGTTAAGTGATTCTGGCTTTCCTATTGCTTGCCAGAAGATCACAAAAAGTGACTACATGACCCTGGGACACTGCAACCGTCATAAATATGAGTCAATTGCCAAGCAGATGAATTTTGATCCTGTGACCTTGAGGATTCTGTAATGGTCTTAAGTGTGAAAAATGAATCATATGTCACTTTGGTCAGTGCGGTTGCAACTTTGAATGGTCACTAAATGAACTATTGTAAGTCAAGGACTACTTGCAGTGGGTGAAAAGTGATACGGTTATACTGTTTTTTTTTCATTATGTCCTTCTTTTGGCTTGTAACATAATTAACTTTCAGATAAAAGGTGCTCTCAAAGGCTAAGAACATTTCCAACTGCATTTTAACAGAAGGCAGGAATGTTTTGGGAGACTTTTTTATTTGCTATGCTCCATGAAAAGAAAAACCTCAATAACAAAAGAGCACAGTAAGTTACAGCTCCAAAAATATTTTTCCAATACACGTTGAAATATTATGGAATAAACATGTTTTGTAAAAGTTATCAGTTTGTTTCATATTCCAAACCCACATCTTCTTTTTCGAACCTGTTGCCCTGCATTCATATTAGATTCCATCTCACTCAGTTGTGCGATAATGGAAACTCCTCCCCCAGCATCCTGAAGTACATCAGATTTGCAGGGTGAGGGCAAAAAAAAAAAAAAGTCAAGAAGATAGCCATATATAAAAAGGACAAGGTTTCAACACATGGCTGTGGCTGTCATCCTCCCTTTTTGATTCTCCTTTCTCTCCCTAAAGTCTGTTCTGCATCTATACCAAAGGTGAGGAATTATGGCCCTTTTATAACATGTGGACTTCAACTTCCAGGAATTCTGGAAGTTGAAGTCCACAAGTCATTAAGCGGCCATAGTTCCCCACCTCTGGTCTACATTGTGAAAACAAATCTGCATGGTCTGTCTTCTTTGAAACAACAAGGAACTGAGACTTGAAGCAAAATATTTTAAAACTTCCCTGTTTATGTGATTCTCAGATGTGTGATTCTTATAAAAGATTTCATGTTTGAGAAGATAGAAAGGCACGAATAACATGATTTTAAAAAGCTTTAGGGAAAAAAAATCTGGATTGCAAATCTCAGAAAACAGCAACTAACAGTTTTGGATACTCTTGAAGTGCATTCAGAAGTTTCAGCAGGTGCAGACTGCAACAGCCTGAGCAGGCTTTGAATCCCCCTAGAGTGGCCCATTTTACACTGCTGCTCCAGTAGTTATTGGTTTGCTTCCAGATCAATTCAAGGTGTTGGTTATGATCTTTAAAGCCTTCCTAGGCATGAATTCAGGTTACTTAATGAACCACCTCATCCCGCTAGGAGAAACCTGTCCCACTTGTGCAAGTGGAGGATGCCTTCTGAGGGACCCAATGGGGGAATATCACACTGGAGATGGCTATTACCATAGATTGATAGCAACCCCCCCCCCAGCCCTGGCCCCAGCATCCTTCTCTCTCCCCACCAAGCTTTTAATTCATATTGCTGCTCTTTCTTTCTTTCTTTCTTTCTTTCTTTCTTTCTTTCTTTCTTTCTTTCTTTCTTTCTTTCTTTCTTTCTTTCTTTCTTTCATTGTTTTACTTATATTTTTATCATTTTACATTCTACTATTGTAAATTGCTCAGAATAGCCCCACAGTGAGATGGGCGGCAAATAAATTTAATAATAAATTTAAAAAAAACAGTTTTCAGATTTGATTACAACTGGCTATAAATCTGTTTCTTTTCAGAAATTTATCAGTAATAAAATAAAATACTAGGAAAATGCTAGAAAAATGCTCTAAATGCTAGAAAAATATGCTTATTACTGTATATTGCTTTCCCCTTGCTTTTTACCACTTTACAGTTAGACTCACCAATTTTCTTGGGCTAAATCAGAAACATGTTAGAGGCATAAAGATTAAAGTTCCTAATAAATGTATAACTCGATCAAAATGGCTCTTTAGCCATATATCATCTTTTAATCCTGACTTTTCTCTTTCAAAGGATGTTATAGTCTCTGTGCACTGTTTTCAGTACAATCGCAGGCTTATATACAACTTGATTTTTTTCAGTTGGAAGTAGGACAAGTTAATTGTATTTTCTCTGCAGCCTGGCTCTGCCATGTTAGAGAATAATTACAGATTTAACAAAAAGAGACTTTAACAAACAATCTAAGCATTCAAGGTCTCTGGACACTTTGCAGTGCAGTAGATACACAATCATCCAATTTTCTCATGATTTGGACGGATCTTTTTAAATATTTTGTTGCAGCTACAGAACCAGCAGCAATTTCTTTGTGTGATTTATTGCTATAGAAAAAGGTAATAGGATATGACACCTGAAAGACATACTGTGCAGACCTGCTGGGGTTTGTGCTGTCTCCATATTTTTTTTTCCATCCATGTGTGAAACGTAAAGTCTTTTACATCTTTGGAAAGCTACATACATTTGTGTAACTAATTTAGAGAAAAATTTCCACTGTTCTTCATTGTAGCCACTGTCCTGGGTCTTCTCACTGAACACACTAGTTGATGAATCTGTGTGGGGATATTTTACCCTCATTCACTAAATCAGTGTTTCTCAACCTTGGTAGTTTAAGCTGTATGGACTTCATATCCCAGAATTACCCTGCTGGCATGAGGCAGCTAGCATAGCTGGCTGGGAGTTGAAATCCACCCAGCCTAAAGTGCCAAGTTTGAGAAACACAGATCTTGATTCTTCATTCATTTCACTTAAGTATCCTTTTGATCCAAAGATGCCTATAACCATTTCCTTGCTAAATTCTGTTTTGAATTCCATCTTGCATTAGTTTCACTAAATGGTACATTCTCAATATAAACTATAAACAATTATTATAAAATAACAGGAATAAAATTGCGACTTTCAGATATTTAAGTATATACTCTGGGAAAACACTTAAGCATTAGAACAATGAGAGACTGAGATATGTATCTAGACCAGTCTTTAGATACTCTCTAAATCTATTGATCTATCTACAATTCTAATTCAGTACAGCCGTTGACTAATACTGTTTGGGAATTGAAGTAAAATGAAATTTGGAAGGCATTATGTTTACAAAGGCTAATAGGGATGAACTTTTCTAATAAAAAATTAAATCTAAATTTATAATAAGCAATATACTATTCTGCCACAAGAGAGCAGTAGTGTTGTAGAAATAAACCTTAGAAGCTTCAACATGTGCCCATCTAATGGTTCATTACTTTGAGATATCTGTGCATTTGATATCTGGCACACACTTCAATTCTCAATATGAAACATACCGTTTGAAAGTAAAAACAAATATTTGAAGTCCTTCTATTAAAATATTTCTGTCTCCATACCATCTCACTTTTGGATGGCTTCAAACTTTCGCATTCAGTTGTATTTTATATTACATTCAATTACAATGATGCTTTATTAATTTAACATTATCTTCTATACTAGAACTAATTACATTCCCTTAAGTGGAAAATCAAATCAGAAAGTCATTTCCTTCTCAGCCTGCAAAACGTCAACACAAAGGCATTCAACAAAAGTACATGAATGGCTAACAATGCCTCCTCTGTTTATCTCTCTCTCCTACGTGAAAGGGAATTTATGGAAATATAAACTTGGACATTTCACTTGTTGAACAATATGCAAATTAATCAACATTCAAGATGGATATAAAAGAAGATTGAGAAGATACACAAAGGTGGTTTTTCCCTATTCAACTGTTTTGCACAAGGAGAAACAGTATTGCCAGGCTCACCATTTTAACCAAGCTGTGAGACGATTACTCAGGATATCTGTTATAGGAACATAAACTAGGATCTAGTTTAGAGTTATTAAGCATAACTCTATGTTGGAAATGCTGTGCTATGCTGGAAATTCAACACAGCACTGCAATTTCCCTGTTAGACATCAGGTTTCTTCTCTCTTTCCCTTTTACATGGATACATACATTATTTCACATAAAAATAAATTCTGTCAATTGGTTTGTGAAACCCATTAAAAACATGTTTCATTGGAATGGCAGTGAAGTGATACAAAGGAGGCCTGTTTTAAACTGTAATTAAATGATCATTAGTTAATAAGTTTTAATGCACTATTTAATTTTATCTGCACTAAACAACAGCACTGATGACTGAAGGCGTGTTTAGATGATGTATCAGTAAGAATAATCTCAGAAAATATTTTTACTTTTAGGTGAGAGTAATGGAAGAATACCATCATCAGATTTTATATATTAAATAGACAAGCGGTATATATGTTTTGTTCTTCTTGAGAGAAATCTTTTTAGCTGGTCAGTTAGGCAAAACATTGATTAATCTACATGATTAGTAGCTCTAATATAAGTCAATGATACTATCTCAGTTGACATCAAAAAAGAGAAGAGATATTCAAGGACACCCTTGATCTAGGCAATAAAAATAATTGGTCTTCTATTGGATGCTTCATATAATAAAATCCTATATAGTGGTGCAACCACAACAACTTTAAGATGTGTGGACTTCAACTCCCAGAATTCCCCAGCTAGCACACTGGCTGGAAGATTCTGGAAGCTGCAGTCCATGTGCATCTTAAAGTTGACCAGGTTAAGAAATGCTCTTATCTAGGCATTTTAATAAGAAGCAGGTCTCATTCTTGGAAACACTGATGATGATGTGATAAGAGTTCATTTACCTGATTCACATGATCCAGCTTAGGACAGGGCCTTCCACCATTGTAAGGCTTCTCTCGGAGCCATTTAGATCTGACTTTCACACCACTTCCACAGGATTTGCTACAGCGAGACCAATTGGACCACTCACTGAGTTTGCAATCTGATGGACATGGAATAATGCAAGCCTCCTCAATGTAGCCTGAGTGAAGAGAAATGAACACACAAGTTCAGAACAACCAGAAGCCTAGCTGGGCCACACCTAATTTTCCATCTCATCCCACATTCTTTTTCCCAAGTGGGTGTTTCCCATAAGCACACAAGCCATGCATGAAAGTTACTACTCTCTTTTGATATTGACCTTAGCAAGTGATACTCCTATGGAACATAAAGTTTGTATTTCATAGACTAATAATTGATATTGGTCTCTGCAAGTTTGCCAGCTCCTCTTATAGTCAGCTAAACTGGTCACCCTCAGCTTATTTTCTAATGTTCTCTAGTGATCTGCATCTAACTTGGAGCAGTTTCATTGGCTGACATCAGATTCTAAAATTCTAAGATATACACAATTGCTTCACCCCGTCCAGTTGACAGTTTGTTTACAGCAGCCTTGCCAATCTGATGCCCTCTGACCTGCTGGGACCACAGCTGTCAAAATTTCCCATCCTCTGTGGTTTTAGGATCCAAACTCTGATTTGACAGTAAGAAATTCCTTCATCATTAAAGCTTTATTAAAATTCAGTGGAGACCCTGATATACACCTCTAGAGACAATGCCAAAGTAAAATCTGGGCACCTGCATGGTATCTTATTAGAATTTCTGCTCCTTCAATATCTACAATTCTGCTTTTCTGACAGCTGGAATATAATTGACACCCTGTCTCTCATTATATCACTCCCCCTCCATTCCTCTCCATAGCTACATGTGAATAAAAATACCTTCCAAGTGAGGTTGCTGCTCTACTTCTCTGCTCTTCCCACTCCAGAGAGGGTTATCAGTGACATGCATTTGTCTACTCACTTATCTAAATGTGCTTAATCCTCTTAAAACTAGTGAATTTTCACACTTTGCATGCACTATTAAATCTGTAAAAAGTGACTGATCTACCATATCCAGATAAACAGCCATCTACCCTGTGTATTAGACTGAGAATAATTCCTTGGAAGGATTAGCAAATGGTTTGTTCTAATTGACAAAATTTTAAAGGTGATGTTAATAGTACTATTAGAGTCATGTTGGTGCAGAGGTTAGAATATAGTACTGCAGGCTACTTCTGCCAGCAGTTCAGCAATTTGATTCTGACCAGCTCAAGGTTGACTCAGCCTTCCATCCTTCTGAGGTTGGAAAAACGAGGACCCAGGTTGCTGGGGGCAATATGCTGACTCTGTAAAAGTGCTTAGAGAGGGCTGTAAAACACGTGAAGCAGTGTATAAGTCTAGGTGCTATTTGCTAATGCTATTAAGCTAAGCACTGGGCACTTAGGATGGTCAAACAACAACCCTGTTTTATCATGAGAGTCTAAATCCTTGTCCTTTTAGAAATGTGTATATATTTATACTAATATGTTGTTGTAGTCAGGGCTTTTTTTCTCATAGAACGCCGAGAATGGAGTTCCGGCACCTTTTTTGGATGGAATTTTGTAGGGTAGGCAAGGCAGGTTGTATGACATGTGTAAGTTCCAGCACTTTTTTTTTTTTTTTTTAGAAAAAAAGCACTGGTTGTAGGTATGGTGTTCCTGCACAGATGATTACTTGGGACTATATTAACAGCTAAAAGTGAACATCTGAGAAACCAAAGGGAGGTATCAGCATGTTCCAGACAACTTCAATATTTGCTAAAGTTTAAAATATTGATGTTCCCTGGAAATTAATTTAATATGCTGATATCTCCCCTTGGTTTCTAAGATGTTCACTTTTAGCTTCTCATGTGGTTTATTAGTATATTAATAAACTAATAATTCAACAACAAATTTTGAGTATCAATTTGCAGAGGAAAAAATGGACTGGACTGTGCAGCTTCAAATTCTTTTTATGTGCACTCTGGGTTGAGGAGATATAACAAAATTTTCTTGTGGCTGAAAATTTATTCCATAGAATTTAGATATTTAATTATCATCTGCTGCATTACTTTTTTTCCTCTTAGGAAGTGCTCAATGGTTTTTTCATATGCCCAAGTGGTCATATGAGCAGCTTTTATTAGTTGATGACATTTCAACTGATGAATATTGTCATCAAAGGAACAGGGATCTATCTTGCTTTAATTCAGCATGTGATAAAATCCTGTACTTATTTCTTTATTTTAAAAAGAAGCCCTTTTAATTTTAACTAGGTTGGTGCTGCTTTTAGGCAACCAATGAAGCATTATATTTTTGCTAATTGCATCTCACAAAAAATCTCTCTGAAAAGTGACATGAAAATTGCTTTCTACTTTGGAAAATTGCTTAAATAAATAATATGAAGCAAATATATGATTGTCACTCTGCACTTCATAACACTTGGCTGTTAATTCATGCATGTTAAATATGTCCCATGTGATTTAAGCTCTGTTCTCTGAGAGCTTCTGTAGAAACTCTAAGGTGCCTGCTACTGCAATAAAAGAATTAGAATAGTCCTGAAATTTGCACTGCAATTTCTGAAACATTTTCTTCTGATGAGAAGGAAACTTCTATTTTAGTCTCAGAGAGCTTAGTAATCTTATTTCAGATTTCTCTTGATGGTGTTTTTGAAATTACTTAATTATTGGAAGTTTGGATGCTACTGTTGCTGCATCTTTTCACAAATCTTAAAACTTCCCACGTTATCCATACTTCTTACTCTAAAAAAGTCTGGTGGCTTTAATTGAAGCAAGGGAAGGCAGAAAGAAAATATTGCACAGAGAAAGGCAGCATGTTCACATACACACATTCCACCCATGAGAATGTCATCTTAATTTTCTTCTCCTTTAAAATATGTTTCACTAGTAAATTCTCTTTTTATCAGTCTGAAAAAGGACTGTAGAAAAAAATGCTGAATTTTCTCAATGGCCTTCAAAAGGCCCGCTGGCATAGAAATGGTGATTAACAACTACTTGGTTGGAAACAACACAAAATGACGCATGGCCGTCCTTGGGCTGGATAGCGGGTATATGTAATTGTAGGCCTGTAGGACCACAGAAACAGAATGAAAATGCAGCCAGAAGCCTTGAATTGAAACAGATGCTCACTCCTCCAAACAACATCATGATCAAATCTAGAGAAAGGCATTCAGAAGGATTATTAACTTAGATTAACAAAGAGCTCATCTAATCTGCCAGTACACAATAATCGATTTCAAACCTGAAGCAGCTGATGATAGAAAACAATGTTGTGGGTCACCCACTTTAGTTCCAATTTTATGAAACAAAGGTCTTCTACAAAAAAGGAATTCAATTGGAAAAATCCAGCAGGAACACTTCTGTTCTTAACGCAATGAAAACATTTCTCTATCGGCTTCTAGAAGTCAAAATTGAACTGAATTCTAAATAGGCTAATCTGTTTTCAATTTTTTCTACTTTTCCTGTTCATTACAAGACTATTAATAAATCTCATATCATCATGCATGTTTTCTCTGCTTGCCATTAATTATGTGGAAGACAATATTCTACATAAAGCAGAGGGAGATGATGAGTTCAACTGCATCTTGGGCACAAAGTGAACTTGAAGGCAGATGATGACAAATTTCTGAAAATCTTCTCAAGAAAACTGCAAGGACATGTCCCAGATTCCCAGTAGTCATCTGGAGTCAACACTGACTCAAAGACATAGACACACAGACACAGACACAAATCTTCCTTACACTTCTCACACAATCCTGTGTCCCATTTACGTTGATCTGACTAGCTAGCCTTCAAGTCTTACACAAATTATTATTATTATTGGTGGGGTTTTTTTTTTTGTAAAATCCAAGGTATAGAAAATTCAGGGGGGAGGAAAGAAGTTAGCTCTTACCCAGCCTTTTATTATAAAAGGAGCAACATAACAAAATGGTATTTGTAGTCCATGAGATATGGAAGGCACTAATGAAGGAAGGCAGTCTAATATGCCAACAGTAGTCAGGTATTTAATGTGTGGAAGTTGTAGAGCTGTATACCAATCTACAATCATAAGAACAGTTTTTTGTGACTTTAGAATAGATGGACCTCAACTCCCAGATCTCTTCAGCTAACATGCTGTCTGGGGAATTCTAAGAGTTGAAGTCAACATATCTTAAAGTTGTCAAGGTTCAAAAACATTGGTTTAAATGATTACTCCTATAAACTGAAATAAATAGACTGTAGGGGAAATACATGGAATTCCATCCATTATATAAGATATAGGAGGATGAAGATGAAAAACTATATACCCACGAAGACTGAAAAATCAGTATATGTCAATTATCTCCTTGGGCTTATTTGTGTTAGCTAAATCTGCACTATTCAAAAAAAAAAAAGGCTCAACATAATATAGTAGCAGGAATTTGCACAGACTTGGCATCTCTCTACACAATTGTTTAACTGAAGCATTACATGTTCTGTTTGAGTCTCACAGCCCCTGCAGGATACATTTCAAATGTTTTGCTTCAAACATTGTCACAGACCAGAGCCCACTCCGTTTCCTATGCAAAGCTTCCAGCTGTTTTACATTTCTTTCTCTTTTTTGTCTGCTTCTTTTTCATTTCTCTGGTGCATAAGTTAGAACCTGCCAACAGGTATTTCTTTTCCCTGTGTGCTTTTCTTGCTTGTTGAGAAATTGACCCATCTGTTGGATTAATTACCATAGTACTGCTGTTCCAGACTTAGATTAACCTGATTGTTGATTGGAAAATGGAGACCACATACAGTACTCAAAAGAAAAGGACAAACAAAGTTTCCATGCTAATGACTAGATTTGCTGTTTTCTCAAGAAGGAGACCCTCCTCATGAGAGGATTACATATATCTATTTTTTTCCTGTGATTAACAAGAACAATCAGGAGCCAGAAAGCCAGGTGTCTGGCAATAAAGAAATGCTACTGATACAATTTAAAAAAAAAGTCAACATGGGACAGTGCTATATGACAGCAAATGTCCTGGGCAAGGACACACACTACATAAATAAAATAATAATTCTATGATTTGTAGTGACTTGTAATAAATATTAATTTTTGTTGCAGTTCTAATGCATCATCATAAAACTGTCTCATTAAACAGATTTGAAGAACAATGCTAC